ACCTCATGTCTCCAACATAGTGCTAAGGCTTCATTAAGAATAACTGAAACTGGCTGGATGTAGTGGGACTCACGACTATAATCCCAGCGTTTTGAGAGGCTGAGGCAGGAGAATTGCTTGAGGTCAGGAGTTTGAGAACAGCCTGGGAAACACAGTGCAACCCTGTCTCTACAAAAATAAAACAAAACTAGCCAGACATAGTAGTGTACACTTATAGTCCTAGCTACCTGGGGGGCCAGGCAAGGATCACTTGAGCCCAGGAGTTCAAGACTACAGTGACGCTGATCACACCACTGCACTCCAGCCTGGGCGACAGAGTGAGACCCTGCCTCAGGAATTTAAAAAAAAAAAAAAAAAGTGTGACTGAAACCAGTTATGTTTTTAAATACGTGAATCCATATACTCATGGTTATAAGCTTGGGAAGGGGGTTCCACACGAAGTTATCAGTCTCAATGGAATTTCTCACTCATTAGAAATAAGAACCATACGGCTTTAGATTCGAAAGACAGCTCACACCTGGGCCCTGCTGGCTCGGGCCGGCTTTTCCACAGGATACCTCAGCTCAGCTCAGCCATTTCTCCATGTTGGCCTCAAGATGCTTTGCTCTACAACACAGTTTGAGTCCCATGTTTTCTATTTCCTTTGTAATATGGATTTTAGTTAAATGATTATAAATCACAGACTAATAAGGGAAAGACAGGGAAAACATTTTTTAAAGATGCATCTTTAGTAGAAATACTGAGCTCCAAGTTCAGCTCTTGCATGAAATAATAAGGCCTGGAAAATGACAGATGATTAAATGCATGTTCCGTGTCTGGCTGTGGCCCTCTGCTGCTGGGAGGCCTTGCAGAGGGCCTGGTTCTCTACAGTGCCCCAGGCCTGGCTCAGCGCTCTCCTCCCTACCGCAGGGAGATGCACTCAGAACAGATGAGATAAGAATCTGGAAAGCGCTTGATTTCTTTGGAATCCAAATTATATTTTCATAAGATCATTGTATCAGGCTAAAAGTACCATGGAGATCAGCAAGAATCAGTATTAAACTTACTTCTGGAACAAAGAGAAGGCATATTTTAAAACTGATGTTTTCAAAGTAGGAAATGTGCTGCTGGGGTCTGTGGCTCATGGCCGTGGCCCGGCTAACCCCGCTCTGCTGACAGTGCTCCCTGGAAAGAGGGCGTCTCTAGGGCCCCTCCTTCAGACTCTCCCTAAACCTTGTGTGCCTCATCTGAGAATTACTAACAGCCCTGGCAGATAACTTTTGCCTTCAGAATTCTCCAAGAGGCCGAGTCAAAAACATCCCCCCACCCAGTTTCTGAAATGAAACCAAATTTTATGATAACAACTAACTAGTAACAGACATCATAAATTAAGTCAAACAGGCAGAATGTCGTTAAGTGACTTCCCTTGCCAGATCCATCTGCCTGCGCTATCAGAGGCTGCTTAAACTTAAACTACATAGGGCAGAAAGACCTTTGAGACTCAGGAAAATTACTGTTACCGGAGATGGGGTTGCTGGTTAAGCCCAGTTCAGAGGGACAGGGCATTTTGCAAACTGACTAGGGAAAGGATGGAGTCCCTGATTTTCAAAATGTATTTTTGAGTCATCTACTGACCCTCAACTGTTCTACTGGAGAAGCATAAGGAGGGAGATGGCCAAGAGAAAACCTCACAAAAGCAGAGCACCCACAAACGCAGGCACACATGGGGAGCAAAAGGGCACCTTCTTCTTGGTAAGGCTGTATGGGTATGTCCTCTCCAAATTCCAAATTCTGACTTATTGGCAAGTCTCATACACCGTTTAATCCCAAATGCAGGTCTCCAGAACGGAAGAGACATCCCCTGTGGTTCTGTTCTCATGAGACGACATTTCATCCTTTCTGTTCTTTAGAGCCTACTAAGGACCGATGCTCTCAGCAAGTGGCATTAAGAAAATTCTCCAGGCCTGTCTAAGAAACTGAGTCTGGAGTGTCATTCCTTCAAGACGGTTAACAACCATGAGAATACCAGGGAGAGCGTCGCTGCATGGCAGGCTGTGGTCCTCGGTAAGAAAGAGCCTCCCAGGAGCAGGGCCAGGGAGGTGACGGTGGAACTGGCAGGAGAGACCCTTCAGGGATTTCTGAGCTCAGGAGTCAAGTTTAGGGACAACACATCAGATGAGGTCAAGAGAAACTGGTAAAATATCTTCACAGATAAGAGTAACTCATAGGGAGTTTTCTTAACATTTTCATACCCTAGTGGACTGCTAGGGTAAAATTATGCTTTTGTGGTTTTTTTTGTTTTTTTTTTTGTTTTTGTTTTTGGCAAACCTATACTTTTCTGGTAGTGATTTATTCTTCCTCTCTTGTTGGATACAAATATAATTTGCTGTATTCCCAGTTCACATAAGCCCTCCCTATTATGCTATAACAGATGTGAAGTCATGCTAATTTCACTACTCCTAACTCCACGATAGAGACTTAGTTCTGTTCAAGCTGCTGGGGAATCCTAATCAGCCATGCACCTTAGGGGCCAGGGCTGTGCTGGGGCTCAGAGGATGTGGGTACCAGCCAAGGAATTCTCCACACACAGGAGATGAGTCGTGGCACCAGTAACTCTGTCTGGAATAATGAACTGGAGACTCCAGAGCCCCTTCCTGGATAGGGGGGTCATTTCCAGACTCCCAGGCACCCATTTATCTGTAAACTACCCGAGCAAACAAGTTAGCCTTGCTTCTTAGACCAACTTCCAAAAAAGGAACCTTCCAAAGCTAACTTTTCCACTTAGTTCTTTAGCAATTTCATTCAAAAAATTTACTTTTTTTTAAAAGAATAAACTTTTGAACTCATGTCTAGGGTAAATCCAGAGCAGACCTCTAGGAGTTTGTCTTATAAGAACGGGATGTGGGGCTTGATGGTGATCTCAAACGGTCTGGAAACACCCTGAATGCAGGCCCCTTTCCCGCACACTTGAGCAACTATGATTCGACTTTCCCTTCAGGTGGCAGCCTCATGTAAATTCACCAGACAATCCCCTTGATTACTTTATTAAAAAGTAAAATAAAATTTAAAAAATGATCAATATTACTCTAACAAAGTGTTTCCAAGCTCAAACTCTATTTCTTTAACCTCAATGGCCATAGGTGGGGTCTTGGGGAGAAATGCTATTAGGTACCAGATGCCTGAACATGTCATTTATCTTATTTCTTTTTACTACATGCCAAGAAATATTTGCTGAATGCCAGTACATAGGGCCTTGAACAAAATAAAATGATAAATTCTTTTTATTCTCTGGTCTTGTCATTCTAACCACTCTAAGTCCTAGGATCTATTATTTAGTGACCCAAAAAGTATAATGAGAAAAAAACTAATCACTTAAACTAGGATATTGAAAATGAAATCACTGCAGCAGAGCAGTATTTTAAATCTACTTACTCCTGTCCTAGAAACTAGAACATTAAGTATCATGAATCCTTCTGCAAAACCAAGCGAGAAAAGGCCAGTCTGGGACTAAAAGATGTGCCACGGAAATAACCTTCCAAATACTGGACTCTGTCCTCCATCTGAAGCAATTCCCAAGGACAGTGAGGTCAGGGCATTGGTCCTTCCTACCAATGAGTGGGCTGCGGAAATGATGTGCAGAGAACAGACTCGCGGGTCTCATGATGGGGACAAAGGTCTCATGAAATGAGGTCCGACTTGCATCGGAGAATGAGAAGCTCAGTAATTCTGGGCTGATAAACAAACACCCTATTTACTGTCAATTTTTAAAAAAAAGAATTCAGTCCAGCATTCTAGGAACATAACAGAACACACTCATCTTGGCAGGAACAGACGGCTTCACTAAGATCAGTGTTCCCCATTGGCTCTGACAGAGAACATTTTGTCTTTTGTCCATCACGTAAACCTAGGAATCCAAATTCTACTAGCAATTTACTTTGTGGGTTTTTTGGATTATATCAGACAAAATCATGAGATACTCTCGACTGCTTTTGAAGAAGATAAACCTATACAAACTTTTTTGATAAAAATCAGATCTAGCTCACAGTGGTCATCACTGTTGCCAATTTCAGGGCAGGTTTTCTATGTTCTGCTGCACCCTATGGTTCTGAGAGGGCATCCCAGGGCCATAGCCCCCACTTCCATCAGAGCAGCTCTGCTTCTACACTGCTGTGAGTTCTTACTATTTTACGTTGCCTTGACATCACTCTGAACCCAGAGAAGCTGGACTTTCTCATACCAGGAGCATGTCCTCCCAGGCCCTTATTGTGGTCAGTCCCGATCTCTGCTTCACAGAACTTCCTTCTGGTGATCACTCCTCTAAGGGACAGCCACATAAAACCTGCTTAACTGGCCCTGCCGACACTCGCACCTCATATGGACTGTGCAGATATGCCAGAGTGACAACTTCCTAGTCACAGAATGACCTCCTGAAACTCATGCCTGCTTGCTCTAAGCCCACTGATTGACACGCCCTGTGCCAAACCTGTGTGGACAACGTTCTGGACCCAATAAGGAGCCTGGCCCAAGGACTCCTCTGTCCCCGCATGCTCCCTGTCCTCGGGGGTGCCATGTGACCCCCAGAACCTGTAGGCAACACTCTTTATTTTTATCTTGTGTCTCTCCTAGTCGCTGGAGGGGTGCTGTCCAGCTTAAAGATCCCAAATTAAAACATACGCTGGCGTTCTGTGTAGGATTTTATTTTAAACGATAGGTTCTTCTGCTCAGGAGTAAGATTAAAAAGCCTAAGTATGCTGCCCTCGAATGTCCTGTAACACCCTTGGCACTGGCAAAGGGTAGGATGGAAAGAGTTGAATGATTTCTCCTGAATCCTCAGGGTTCAAGTCTTCTCACCCCAATCCCCCAAGTTTCTGCCCCACCAGAGGATCCTGGCACCACTCCTGGCATGTATTAACTGCTTGAAAATGTTGACGACAAACGGTGAGTAACAGAAAGGAGGGGGCTGCTTCAGCCACAGACCGGCCACATTCCCCGCCACACACAAAGTGCCAGCGACGACTCACCTTATCGCTGTCCAGCGTGTTCTGAGACGTCCGTGAGGCGATGGAAATCGTATCGGGCTGGCTGCTGCCGTCTCCTTGGCTGTCCAGATCCTCTCCATCCCTGGCGGTGCAAAGAAACTTTTAGTTCCTGACGCTGCTGAGCTAGCTGCCAGTCACTGGAGAAGCAACTGGTTTGTTTAATGAGGTGCATATCAGCCTTCACGAGTGTCTGCTGCTGCCAGGATGTGGACAATGGTTAAGGCACCTTACCCCAAGCACAGGCTTTCTGCTGGGCCCTGTGCTGAGTGTTTAAAATATATCATCCTGTTGGATTCCCATCATCATAAAATATAGTTGATATGATTGTTGCCATTTTAAAAATGAGAAAACAACAACATCTCGATGCTTTATAACTTATCCAAGGCCATGTGCATGGCTTAGACATGCGCCCTGTATGGTGCTTGGGGTGAGAAAGGCAAAACAATGAGGGGTTTGCGTATTACAGCCCTTCGTTTACTCTAAGCCAACAGGAGCTCTTATCTTTGACAAAGCAGTTTCATTACTAAGAACGATGTTATCCACAAATGGCAGTTTTCAAAACACATTCCTCAAAATGTTTGAGAGAAATGATTTTTGAAGCAGGGTGAGCTAACACCGCCTCGCCCCTCCCTCCCACATTCACAAACCTCCGGGGGCGCCCAGGCACGCACCTCCTTCCCTTCTGTCTTGTGGCGGGAGCGGTCTTGGGGATGTGAATGGGCTCCTTCAGGGCTCCCTTCAGGTGGATCGTCCGCTCCTGGATGACTTCGCGGATATGCTTTATCCAGTCCTGCTTGTTCTCTATACTGGAAGCCTTAACAAGGTGTTAGTGTTGCTTAGGATATGGAAGAGCCCTTTCCAGAACTTGCGCTAACCACACCCAGGTTTTTTTTCAAAATGACTTTTCAGCAGAAAAGCAACCACATCCTATGTTTAATCTGCTACCAAATCAAATGACTATTAAAAAATATGTTTGCATCAGAACCATTGTTGTTTTATAGCATGTGTATTACTCCAGATCTCTGACTATTGCAATAATCCATCATTCTCCAGTCCCAAGACCTTTTAAGCAGCCCTGGGCAAATAAACCAATACAGCCACCCTCACCGCCACCAAAACGCCTCTGAGGCTGTTGATGCAAACACTGTGCACTGGTCAGCAGCGGGCAAACTGCCAGCAGGAAACTGAACAAATCTCCATAGCCTTGTGGCCTCCTCTGTTGGACTCAGGAACAGCGGCGCAGCTGCCGCCACCTCCAGCCCCCTGTGCCTGGCTGAGGGCTTCCCGCATGCTGTCATCCACTCCCGTCAGGGCCCTGTGGGTGGGAGACTCCCTCGGCCTTGTCTCATAAATGAGCAACAGAGGTGTGGACAGAAGAAATGTGCCCAATGTCACAAGCTCACCAACTGCCAATCCCCGATGGCAGATTCACCTCGACTCCATTAGAACTCTGAAGAAATGTCCTCTGAGAACGACACAGACTAGATTCTCAGCAAGCACCTGCAGAGTGAGCACGTACGGCATCACTTGATCCAGACTTTTTCTTAAACTCTGCCTCAAAGGAGGTATTTTTGTTTTTCTTTCTTTCTACATGTTCTGGGCCTTACTAACAGCTTTCTAATTTCCTCACAGAAAGTATCAACCTCCTGTGATATCAGCGCAATTCCCTGCAGTTATAATTCCCCTAACTGTCATAACTCATCGCAGGTGAGGTCACAAAGCGGGGAGCACCCAGCATTTCTCACTGTGTATCCTGTTTTTGAAAACAGAAAATCAAAGCCCATGTTGGGAAAGGAAATTAAAATTAAACACCCTCTTTCTATAGGAACCGTTTTAACCAGAGGACATGTCTTTAATGTTACTAACAGGTAGTGACAGGGAAAAAAATGATGGGCAAAGGCAGCCTCTTGCTCCCTCTTCCCCAAGTGACATAGGACAGCAGGAAAACCAATGTCTTCTGGGGAGGGGGGCAGAAGGAGGCAAGGGGACCAGGGAATGGGTGTGCAAAGTAAGTGACTCAGGAGAAGAAACTTTTCTAAAAACTATAAATCAGTTGGAATTTAAATGCCTGATAAAAGTATTTGGAAGGTTAACTAAAGAGAAGTCCCCACAAAAGAACATCTGGCAGAGTTTGAAAACAGCTGAGGAAAACTGTTAATATGGTTGAGAAATAAAGAAAATTCTCATATGAATTGATCATTACACTTACAGAGAGTAATTCTCCTAACCTTAAAGAAATTAAACAAGGAAAAAAGATGTCCATTTTTCAGAAGTAGTAAGAGAAAGGTAATTGAGGTAAAGTACTAAATACAGGTCCTACCTGGCTAAGAGAGGGGATAGTTCATTTCATACTCTGGGTAGTCACAATCTGTTTAAGACTTAAAAATAAAATTCTCCTTTCCAGACTAGAGAAGTGAAAATAACCAAAATTCTGTTTTACAACTACTAGGACATCATCATCACCATTACCATCATTCCCATCATGTTCTCTACCACCATCAGCACACCAGCAGCACGATACCTCTCCTTCCACCACTGCCTACACCCTCACCACCACCACCTGTAACCTCACCACCATCTCCAATCTTACTACCACCAAAATCTAAATCATCTCCATCTACACTCTCACCACACCATCTAGACCAACAAAATCTGTGCCACCACCATCTATGCCATCACCATCAACACCTAAACCCTCACCACCATCTACACTACCACTGCCTGTACTACCACTACCACCAAAATCTACACGATGACCTCCATTTACAACCTTACCACCAAAGTCTATGCCACCACCATCTATACCCTCATCACCACCATCTACACCATTGCCACCATCTGTACCAGTACCCCCATCACCAAATCTATACCACTACCTTCATCTACACCCTTACCCTCTCACCACCATCTACACCACCGTGACCACCAAAATCCGTATCACCACCATCTCCAACCTCACTGCCATCTAAACCTTCACCGCCACCACCACCACACTGTCTCCACCACCTCCACCTACACCATCATTACACTACCATTCCCACCATCACCATCGCCTGCCTCACTACACCAACGCCCCGCAGTAATCCCTGAAATTAATGAGAGTATCATTTCCTCTACTTTCTCCTTGGAAGTCAGAAAGGTATTACCCAAAATTCCCAAGAAAACTTTTATCTGGCAAAGCCTGAGAAAGGTCTTATTTGTCAACGGTACCATGAGCATTTTGTGACATCCTAAATGAAAGTCCAGATCTGGCTAAAGTAACTGTCACTATTTTTTGGAAGCACCTTTAGGTATCTGCCACTGTAGCTAGTCTGGGTAAGCGGTTTATATAAGTTGCAAGTTTTCAGGTTTCAAGTATACCTTAAAATGTTAGGCCTTAGGAAGAAAATACAGTTATTTAAATTTAGCTATCAGTGCAATTTATGTCAAACAGGGCTTTATGCCAGTACTAGCCAGAACACATTGGGCTGGTAATCACATATTCACTGTGAAACAACCCACTATTACAAATGAACAAAGATCTTATGAATACAATGGCTTCCACTGAAGAACACAATCTAGAAGGTTGATGTACAGGGGAGTAACTCACAGTCACTGAAAATTCCAAAGAGATGAAAAGGCATGCAAGAGACACAAGGGGTGACATGCAGGTTCATACACCAGAGTCCCATTACACTCTGGCTCATCTCCCAATATTCTACAAACCTCAGCTCCACCAACCCCCAAACATCCCAAAGCCGCTGATGGCATTTCCAGATGGCTCCAAAAGTTCCATCTGTATTTTCTCAAACACAGAGGAGGGAAATACATAAGACAACCTCAGAGCTCTTGACCATTCCCAGGAGAGGTTAGTATAATCAAAACAAGAGTTCAAATCAAATATTCCAAGATATTTTCCTCCTCCAAAGACTACATAACCTAAAGCATCCCTAGTGGTTTTGAATTTTAAATCGTAACAGTATCAAACCCTGTCACTAATAATCATTCCTCTTTCCCTCTGTCCCCAAACGATTAAGCCACAGAGCTGAGGACCCTGTAAGGACTGTGGGTATGGCTGGCCTCAACTTCCTGTCGCAGGTCCTCACAAATGAACCAGGTGACTTTTTCCTTTTGAAACAGAACGCCAAGTGCGCAATGAGAGTTGTTGGTCAGTATCTCATTCCTCCTGTACCCTGACTTCTGGCATCTCTTATAGAGTCAATGAATTCCCAGACTAGAAGAATGGGAGAAGTTTAAAAAGACCTTGCTTCATTTGCCCTTTCAGGAGTCAAGTGAAAGTTCAGCTCAAATTGTTTCATCACCAGAACATCTAACTGAATTTATTCCACTATTCTTTTTGAGGTAGTGACCAATCTGAATAGAACACAAACAAACACACACACACACACCCCACCACCAACAAATAATAATAAAATAATATGAAAACCAGTATACTTTAACAACGGAAAAGCAAGCATGGCTGGCCACAGTAAACATTTCACATAGCACAGTTCGAGTTTCAAATGAACATACCTTAAGGACAATTTTATTATCTGAAGTTGGCGTTCTCCCCACCCACAGTGCAAATTTGCAAGGGTCTCCTTCAACATGTTCTGTGACACCCAATTCTGAGGTCTGGACAAAAAGACAATTATATAATTAGGTGACAGTAAAATTCTGGAAAGATGCAGAACAGAGACCAAGGAAACAAGTTGTGGTTACTTGTGGCCATGTTAGGTTATAAGAACGTTGCTAGTGATCTCAGCTCTCGTGTGAGTTATAATGAGGACACTGTGTTCTTAGGCTACAGGTCACTGGTTTTGTCCTTCACTTCCTGTGAGCATCTCTTATTGGAGACCCCAGTGCAGGTCAATAGGCAAAAAATTCAGGGGAAGGAAACCAACACGTGAAAATCCTATCTGACAATCAAGATCTGACTACTTGCAATCTTACAAGCAACAAACTGCAAAATGAGTCTTTCCTGGTTGCAAAAGGGCTGCCACCATGTTCTCTTCAGCATTAATGATGCAGCTTCCCAGAGGGCAAATGATGCTTTAAAAGCTTATTTTGCAATTTATCAATAGCATTAGCTTTTAGTACTTGATCGGTAATTTTAACGGCTAAGAGGCGAAGTCCCTCTGTGATATATGCAGAACATGGAAGCATGCAGAGAAAGGTCAATAGCTTCAGCTCCTCCCCCATAGTCAAGGTCCCCCTGATGCATTCTCCACCCCAGCAAAGGAAGTGATTCATCATCCAGAGCTCCAGAGGTGGCCTCTGAGGGAATCTTAACTTCTAAAAGATAAATTAAGTGAAGATATATTGGCTGCTAAAACAGATGAGCTTGGTCTCTAAAGGGAGATGCAAGCCAGCTAATGAAATCACTAGCCAGCAACGTTGCATTGTTTTCTTTTCAGTCAGAAGGTGACCTAAAATGATGTCAGCAAGCTGTAATCCAAACGACGACCTCAAACAGGACAGAAGCCAAACAATGGTATGAAAACCATCAGTTGGGACTTGTGATTTCCAGATTATTATTCAGAAGATTTCCATACTTGGAGACGTTTTATTACTTGAGAAATTTCATTATATATGGACATCACAAAAAGTATGTGTAAGTTGTCCAAATTGCAAACATCTACCAGTATTTATAAGAGATCTGCCATAAAGAAACCCACCTTCTTGGCATTTTCTATTCTTTTCCGGATGATGATTCCTCCTTAGCGCCACCCCACTGTCCCCTCTGCCCGGCCCTGCCCAGCGACCCTGCATGAATAAGCCTCTGAGAAACGACCCACTAAGTTAGATGGAAGCACACGGGATCCAGAGATCACGCTGCTCTTGGGCTTTTCTGAGAGCGAGCAGAAACGTAGTTTCACAAAGAGGCTGGTAAGGCTAGCTAGTGGTCACAACATGGCAGCAGGTATGTGGCTCTTGCCAAGAAGTACAATGATAGGTTAAGTATGAATTAAAATGCATCACCGCATTTGCCAAGCACTCAGGGGCAGCTGTCTCCACACGGCTGGGGCTGTGGATCTTTCAAACTGTACTTTGGCTTACGTATATTTTCTCTAATAATGACATGTCACTGTTATAAAACAACCATAAATTTACTTATGCATTTATATTTCATAAATTTATTTTTAATGGAAAAAAAACATCAAACCTCAGCATGGCAAGTCTACAGTGAGCCACCCAGTAAGGCTGTTTCCATATACTCCAAAGTTTATGGTTGAAAAGTTAATTATAACAAGAACTTAGTCACAGATATGATTATTTTATTTATAAAGCTAGTTAAGCACACCGGAGATAAATGATTTCACTTATGAAATGTTTTCTTATCCTACAGTTATGAGATATGGGATTTAAGAGCAAGTTTCCTAAGTGTATAAACTCCAGAGCACCCTCTAGTGGACTTGGGGGTGGCAAATAATTCACTAAAGATGAAAACCCCACCACAATTCAGACTTGCACATTTCAGGACAGATTGGGAGGTTAAACTGAAGATGATGAGCAATTCTTCTCCACCTGCAAAGAGACCGCAATTGTGTTACCTTTAGACTTACAATTCTGAACGCCTATACTTACAAACAATTTGCTTTTGTAAAGGTACTTGCTTCTCCCACTGGAATCTTTCACTTCTTTACTAAATACTAAGGACATTTCAAAAAGGAAGAGATGCCGTTCTCGGCCCTTTCGAATTAAGGTTTTTGGGTCCCACACTTGGAAGGATTCCTGTAGGATGAGTTCTCCCTGAGACTCAATGTTTTCATCAAACCCTACAACATGAAAAAAGGGAGGCAAATCAATTTAAAAGAAAAATAAATGATGCACAAGAAAGCATTATTACTATTTTCAACATTTTAAAAATGCCCAACAACCAACCCCAGATGAGAGTTTCCCATCTGAGCCTGACGCCATGGCACTGATCCATCCTACCGAGGATAAGTCTCCCTAACACACCACTTTACATACATTTTCCTTTGTTCAGAAACATTCTGCGATTCCTCAAGGCTTTATTCTTCGAGTTCTGTCCCTCCGGTGGGCCTTCGCAACAGTTGAGATTTGGTTCCACCCTCTACCTCTCTTCAGCCCTCTTCTGCAGCATCCCACCATGTAAACCTCCTCTGGAACAGTTCCGCCTCTCCTCTAAGCCCCCACCTACTTTCCAGCCTCGGTCTTGATTCTCTCTGCTTTGTCAGCCCACAGCATCCTTCCCAGACATTCTGCTCAGGTCCAGCCTTTCTCCAAGGACCTGTTCTGGTCTTGCTTCTTGGAGAAGTCCCCGGCTGCCCATGCTTGCTGCACCCTCCCTCCTCTGAATGTGACGTTCTGCACAAGAATCAGTCAGGCTCTGGACTTCATTACTGCTCCTCTCTTCAAGGAAGTGGTCTGCTTTATCACCTGGTTATGAAGCCACCAGGGCTTAGTAAAGCCAGCCCCGGGGCAAAGGCTGCCCGTTACCTCCTGACTTCCACTCTCTCCTTTTCCTCTCATAGTAGAAGCTCCCACTAGGGCTGCTCAAAATAAGCACTCCATTCCCAGCCCCACGCACAGTTAAAAGCAGCCGGGTACCTACGCTCTGGGCAAGTGAGCACAGCAGCGGGTACCACTGCTAGTGTCTGCCCATCCGGAGTTCCCTCCCTGACCTTCTTCCCCACTTCCTGCTAGATGGAATGTTGGCATGGTCTTGAAACACCCTGGACCTAGCCGGCCAGAAAAACAACTAGAATGGAGAGAAACTAGCTGGAACACAGCCTGAGTCCTTGATGACATCATGAAGGGTTGCCATACCAGATCAGCATTTTATATCAGAGAAAGAAAAATCTGTTTTGCTTGGCCTCTGAGTTTTGGGTCTTATTACCCACAGCAGCACCTATGTTCAGTGTTACCCATAAAGACACAGGCTAGCAAAAGCATTTGGGGCAGGATTATAACTTACCCTGTGTAGCCTGGCAAGAACCAAGCTTTGCACCACAGGAAGAGCTTTCTTAAACAGAGGCATTTATGAAAATTATAATTGCTATAATTTTGAAACATATTTATCTAATTTTCTCTTTACCATGTTACGCACCAAATTCAATGATACAAGGAAATATCTGGTGAATACTATGTTCCAGGCTCTAGCAAGTGATGCAACAGATACATAGATGGGGAAGCAACACATTCTTTTAAGGATTTTACAGTCCTGGGGTTTGATCCATCCATACACCCACCTACTCATCCACCTAACAGGGAGAGCAGGTGGCCTGCAGCAAGCGACACAAAATGCTACTGGAGTCCAGAGTGTGGAGAGGCTGTTTTCCAGTGAAGGGACAAGAAAAGCCTTTCAACGAGTGTAGAAGCATTTTATGTGGTCCTTAAGAAAAGCAATGACACTGATTCTTTAAGACATGTTCTTAACCACTAACACAGAGACATAAAGCTGGGATTTTTAGGGTTCAGGAAATCCATTTACAAACAGAGTCATTAGAAACTGCATAAATGCATACTGGGGTATGGAGGGTCCATTACCTTCCAGCATGCTGAGGTGCATGGCATCATTGGCTCGCTTTGGCACGCTGAGCATCACCTCCAGGCCATCTTTAATCTCTCCCTTTCCTTCCTCACAGCACGTCAGCAGCTCCTGCAAAGATCGACACCAGAAACTAGGTAAAGACTGCAGAATGCTCCGTCAATGAGAGCTTGGCAGAAACAGTCTATGAAAACCATGGCTTTCAAGATAAAAACAGAGTGTGGTCAACTGGGCATATGTTCTCATAGAAATGAACGACTACCTCTTTATTCAGGGGATGGCAGGGTTTGTCCTGTTCTAATCAGAGTAAGCCAGATGTATTCGTAGTTTAAGATGAAATTAGTATACCTGTTAACAATCAAGCCTCAAAAATGATAAACAGAGGCCAGGTGTGGTGGCTCATGCCTATAATCCCAGCACTTTGGGAGACTGAGGTGGGTGAATCACTTGAGATCAGGAGTTCGAGACCAGCCTGGCCAACATGGTAAAACCCCATCTCTACTTTAAAAAAAAAAAAAAAAAAAAATTAGCTGGGCATGGTGGCATATGCCTGTAATTCCAACTATTTGGGAGACTCAGGGAGGAGAATCACATGAACCTGGGAGGTGGAGGCAGCAGTGAGCCAAGATTGTGCCACTGCACTCGAGCCTGGTGGACAGAGCAAGACTCTGTCTCCAAAAAAAAAAAAAAAAAAGATAGAGCTATTTAATTATTGTGTAACACATGATCAGCTACTGGTTACAGCTGACGGCCATGCCAGGTCCAACTGTGCGTTTACCACACAATCCCAGCGTGACTTTGAACCCTGGAGCCATAAATGCAACACCTCATCTAAACTGGACCAGCCAAGTCACGCAGCAGAAACAGTAACGCCGCGTGAGTACTTACAGGCAAATGCATTTCCTTTTCGCGTAGGATGTTTAGAAAAGCTCTAATGGTTGAATTACCTCTCTCTGGGGAGCCCTATGTGTGTGATTACATTTCAGAGCTATTTAGAGAAACATCCGTTATTAAATGAAAGACAGCAGGAACAATAAGTTCACCTTCTGGTGGGCTCCAAGATACTTTCTTACTGGTGTATTAATCATTACTACCAGTCAGTAATAGCAACAGCAGTGTTTTGTGTCTTGGAAGTTGACAAAAGAGAGGTATGACACTGCAGTCAGCACTGGTCTCCCAGAGGCTGCTTGAGAGCAACTCAGCTGCCTGATGGGCACCTTCCCTCATCACCAGATGGTGTTTACCTGTGATCCTAAGCAGCATGGCAAACGCTGCTCACAAATGCAGTGCGCTGAGCCTAATAACTGATAACTGGCAGAAAATCTTCCTTGTTGGGGAGCTTAAGGGAGCTTATTACTGTTCTCCTGAAGAACCTCTGGCAGAGGAAGGTGAGGTTCACAAATTTAAGCACCAGTTTAGTAGAACTACCTGCTAAAAACAAAATCCTTCCATATTGAAGACACTAAAAGGTAAACTGCCTCTGCAGAATTAGAAAGCAAAGGACAAATCTGAATACGAACAAATTAGCCTCCTGACTTATTTTGCATTTATAGCAACTATATATTTCTGCAGGGATGGTCACAAAATCACTTAATGGAATTTTGATATGAAAATACAGGAGCGCTTTTCCAATAGAAAAATCCCATAATAGTATCACTTTCACAAAACAATGTAGCCACTTACTACTGTCTCTAGATTTTTCTTACTAACAAAAAGGGTAAACAAGAGTTTCAGGTATTCGTAACTCCATTTTCTAAATTTCTTTCATATCTAGACAAATTACATAATAACTTCCTGTTGTCGAGCCTAGGATAGTATCCGGAACAAGGCAGGATTCATAGAATACCATTACTGGGATGAATGCATGGTTTCTACATTTTAATGCTTAATAACATTCACCAGCTGAGAAAATGGTAAGCTGAACATTACCAGACAAAAGCTGTCAATTTTTATGTAGTCAAGAAAACGTGTATTGATGGTACATAATACATTTTGTGACAACTCTTAGCACGAATTCTAAGTTTTGTTTAACTTTCTATTGTCGAGACTAATCGCTATTGTTTTCCTAAATGTGATTTTAATTATAGTCATTCACAACTAATAAAAAGCAGAGGTCACCCTGTCTCCAATACTTGTGATCTGTATGAACAAGGTGTGCCGTGAGGGCTGTGACATCAGGGACAAGCAACAAGACAGAGGAAGCCTCCTGGGCGTGGGTTCTCCATGGCTTCAGTGGAAGCCCTGGGCATCAGCCAGCTCTGTGTTCGGAGTTGAGCCTGTTAACAGGTGTGAGTGATGATTCTGGGCATGCTCCTTACAGTCCGAGGCTGGTTTCCACGCCCGCAGACTAGCATTGTTGGGAGGTCAACATACACAAAGCACACCAAAGTGCACCACACCTGGCCCACAGTCAGCAAGCCACAGCTGGGAACTAAGGGTACTAAAATATCAAGAACTGATGATTTCTCATTTTATGTTTAGGGTCAGTCAGTGCAGTTCAGATCCATAATCATGACACATACTCTCATTTAACTCTTGCAATGAGAAATTAGGCAGGGCAATAAATACTAATGAATTAAAAAGTAAAATTAATTGACTAGGTGTTTCAAAAAATTCAGGGTAATTATGTAAATGTCAAAATAATAATACAAAATTCATAAAATTTCACAGGCTGAAGAGCCATTATACATACTTTTAAAAGGAGTTGATACTTTGTTATTCGCTGAACCGGTTTAATAAGGTAGGAAGAAATGGAATTGGCTAATCCATGTCGCTGCTGTATCTCCTGTATTAAAACAAAACCAAACAAGAAACAAGCCTTAATCATGGGGTTACACTATTAAATCATGGCTATACGACACATTACCTTTCCAAATACTGTACCTGACAACTTTTTAATCATGCTGAAATAATAGAGTTTCCTTCTCCTAAGAGGTTTTTAAATTATTAACACAGACTTCTTTGCTTCTAAAATGTTACTTCTGGAGAGCAAGGGGTACTTTGGAGCAGGAGGATCTACATTACTGTTCAGTGCACATTTAATGCCATGATTTGCACTTTGCATTTTGTAATTATGTCCTTTACAGGTAACGACCTGCTGGCTGGTTGTATTCCTTGCTGTGAAGACAGGCTGTGTCTGTGCTAATCACCACTTTATGCTAGCACCTAGGGCAGACCTTAGAGTTAAATGAGCACCATATAGATGTTCAATAACGCTTGTTACTGGTAAGAAGCATAATGAAAGGTTATCAGATAGTCTGGAGAACAGAGGAAGCTGGAGCAGAAAGCCTCTAAAAAACTAAACCAACATACTACGAATACTGAAAGCATGTAACTTGTGAAGTCTCTCAGGCGTGATTTCTCTTATTCTTGAAGACATGTTTTAGGGCATAAGGGCTTCTTTTCAAGTTCTGGGGTGCATGTGCAGAACGTGCAGGTTTCTTACATAGGTATACACATGCCATGGTGGTTTGCTGCACCCATCAACCTGTCATGTACATTAGGTATTTCTCCTAATGTGATCCCTCTCCTAGGCCCCCACCCCCTGACAGGACCCAGTGTGTGATGTTCCCCTCCCTGTGTCCATGTGCTCTCATTATTCAACTCCCACTCATAAGTGAGAACACCCAGTGTTTGGTTTTCTGTTCTTGAGTTAGTTTGCTGAGAATTATGGTTTCCAGCTTCATCCATGTCCCTGCAAAGGACATGAACCCATTTTTTTTTTTTTTGAGATGGAGTCTTGTTCTGTCGCCCAGGCTGGAGTGCAGTGGTGCGATCTCCGCTCACTGCAAGCTCCGCCTCCCAGGTTCACGCCATTCTCCTGCCTCAGCCTCGCCAGCAGCTGGAACTACAGGTGCTTGCCACCATGGCCTGGCTAATTCTTTTGTATTTTTAGTAGAGATGGGGTTTCACTATAATACCCAGGATGGTCTCGATCTGACCTCGTGATCCACCCATCTTGGCCTCCCAAAGTGCTGGGATTACAGGTATGAGCCACCGTGCCTGGCCTGAACCCATCCTTTTTTTATGGCTGTATAATATTCCATGGTGTATATGGCCACATTTTCTTTATCCAGTCTATCACTGATGGGCATCTGGGGTTGTTCCAAGTCTTTGTTCCAAGTCTATTGTGAACAGTGCTGCAATAAACATGCGTGAGCATGTGTCTTTATAATAAAATGATTTGTAATCCTTTGGGTATATATCCAGTAATGGGACTGCTGGATCAAGTGGCATTTCTGGTTCTAGATCCTTGAGGAATAGCCACACTGTCTTCCACAATAGTTGAACTAATTTACATTCCCACCAACAGTGTAAAAGTGTTCCTATTTCTCCAAAGCCTTGCCAGCATCTGTTGTTTCCTGACTTTTTAATGATCGCCATTCTAACTGGTGTGGGAGATGGTATCTCATTGTGGTTGATTTGCATTTCTCTAATGACCATTGATGATGAGTTTTTCATATGTTTGTTGGCTGCATAAATGTCTTCTTTTGAGAAGTGTCTGTTCGTATCCTTTGCCCACTTTTTGATTTTTTTTTTTTCTTGTAAATTTGTTTAAGTTAATTGTAGATTCTGGATATTAGCCCTTTGTCAGATGGCTAGACTGCAAAAATTTTCTCCCATTCTGTAGGCTGTCTGTTCACTCTGATGATAGTTTCTTTTGCTGGGGCATAAGGGTTTCTAAAATGGCTTTGATTCCAAACATTAAATGTGCTATATGCTCTCACTGTTTAAGTGAAATACTTAATATTAAAATACTTCTAACTCCATATACAGGTGCTGAATTTTGTCTGATGGCAAAGACCTAGAATCATGTGAAATATTAAAAAGAAAAGGCCCCTTTGGCCTGGGAGAAGCCTTCCTATTTAAAAAGGCAGTGATGTGTAATGTGTAATGTAACGGTCAAGAGAATGACAATTAAAATAGGGTCATCTACAGGCAGGGCTTCACCTCAAAGACAGAAACTGAAAAGTTTATTCTACGTCCCTAGACTTCCAGATAAGAGCTGATGATCCCATCTGTACATACACAAGTGTAAAGACAGAAAACAAGTCCAACATCCTCACAACCTTATGCACCAAACTATGCACACTATTCCACAGCACCTTATCCTTCAATCAAAATGTACTGGCACATATTTGACCAAGTTCTGGAAACCCAGAAAGCACTCTGTGTATCACGTTCTAAAGCTCCATGCCTTTTGTGCTGAATAATCCGCTGAATAGCTTTCAAAACACAGATGGCCTGTATCTACGTTTACTCCAATGAGAACACAATTAGTTAACCTTCTAATTATCCTAGTCGTTACGGCACTATTTGTAAAACTTTACTGGTAGGTTGATTTTGAAAATTCATAACATCATGAAATTAAAATAGGAAAAATAAAAAGATTCACCACATTTGTTTTTGTTTTACTGAGGGGGAAAAGAAGCTTAATAGTTTATGCCTTTTGTGTACAATATTACATGTGAAAAAATGTATTGAATATAAATAGTAATGACATTATAAATGATTGAGTATAAATAATAACACACACACACACAAACATACATGTATATATTACAATCTAAGTTTCTTAGAGATATAAGGCTTCCAGTATTTGTGTAGGATCTTTAAAAAACAGAAGACAATAGAAGAATAGCCCAATATAAACGAGAGATAAAAATGAAAATATTGTACTATCAATTAGGTGAAAGTTATGAGTAACGCTGCATTTTATGTACACAACTTGGAAAATTACAGTCTCTTCAGGAATCTATTACTTACGTCAAAATAGGACCCTGCATGTTCCAATATCAGCTGAGTAGAATCAGGTTTATTTTTGCAATATGTGACATACATCTGAAACTTGTCAGCCTATAAGCCAAAAAAAATAAAAATAAAAATAAAAAGATCTCATTTAAACCATAGCAAATCAACGCATGATAAACTTTCATATAGAAAAGAAGCTGTATGGATAATGGAAATTTAAGCCTCAAGTTGAAGAGACCCTATTTTAAAAAGAAAGCTACTGAAGTGAGAACCACATCGTTCTGACAGCATGCAGCTGCAGCAGCCTCCCCAAGCCCAGAACGTCGGGCTGAGCACCTGTCCTCTCTTTCCACAGCGGCACGTGTAGACCTGGCTTCGGGCTTTGGACAGCATGACTACACGTTCACCTGTCTGCTTCCCCTCTAGACTGGACGATTCCCCAGAAGCACTGGGAACTCACCTATCAGCAAATCCCCAGGGTCAAGTGGAGGCCTGGCATACTAAATATTCTATTTCAAACCATCGCCAGGGCCAATAAAAAAACTCACTCCACAAAAACAAGTAGTTGAAGGATGCAATTCTTTGAGGTAAAGTCTATTTCTCTGCAAGCATGAATATGAGCAGAAGATGGTGACTTAAAGGAAATGAAGATCATCCCTCATAACTTCCCTCAATGTCACCTAACAGCTGGGAGAGAACAAATGGTTGAGGTTTCATTACCCAAGTAACAAAACAATGTCCAACATCCTCTGGCAACTGTTCATATTTTTCCAGCTCCTTTAGGAATATGCTGCAAAGAATAAAAATGGTATCATATTATGAAGGTGTTTTAAAACATTTTACTAGTGAGATATGCCAGAAATTGAGAAATCTGTGCCCCCTAAAGAATTAACAAAACATGTAGCTCTTAACTAGGGTAAGTTATTGTGACTTTCAAACGGCTAGCCAGTTTAGCCTTCAAACACTTTCTAACAAATATATTTCTGGGAAAGTGTTAGTGTGTTCACTGAGGATATACTTTAGAGATGTAAATATTTGGCTGAAAACCCATTTGGTCTTTCCTGCCTTCTGCTGGGAAGTGAGGGGACTGCGCTCTTGCTGACCCCTGCGTCATCTCACCACAGGCCACCTAAAGGAGATGCTGCCGCTGCTGCTTTAAAAATATTAAAAGAGAATCATGTACCTCCTGTGGCCAATGGAAAGTGCATTTTATTTTGGTCAGAATACACTTCTGTTGCTTCTTCAGTTCCTCCCATCTTACTATAAGAGACCAAACATCATAGGCCAGCAGTCCCAAGGGGGCTCCACTGTCTCTCGACCCTCAGAAGTAACTCACAGGGCACCTGATGGCTCAGCTTCAGAGAAATTAAGCTTCCTATAAAAATATTTTCATAGTTTTCCTGATCTTATTTCTGTAACAGATAAGTACAAACATGAAGTTGAGTCTGTATTAAAAGAGTTTCTAGAATGTCAGTCTTTTTGGAGAAAGCCTGATAGGCTTCATTTGAATGGTAACAAAATCACTGACATCTGCCTAATTCAACGGGAACGTTTCATTCCTTGTGACGAAACTTCAGCACAGCATGTGGATTTCAAAAGTAACTGCTCCCAAAGAAAAAGCCACTCACTTATTATGAAATTCATAGATTTCCTGCATGTTTCCGAAGATGATGAGTTCTTTGTTTACAATGCCAGGTGGAATCTCTTCCACGCCACTGGTCATTTCCCACAGGTAGGTCTGGCCGAGAGGGAAACAGGGGTTAGACAAAAATAAACACCACATTTTCAAGAAACAGCTGTTTCTGACATCTGTAAATACACAGAATTAATGTGCAAATGAAAGTATAACTGAGGACTGGACCCTTTTACAAAACACAAAAAACCCTTCTAAAAAAGGCCCTCGGTTGCTGTTAATACTTGAAGAGTTCCTATACTTTTCAACTCTAAAATTATTCCCAGCTTCAAATTTTGGAATTAACCTACTCCACAAGTACAACCAATATTCCTGATACCACCGAGTATTAGTTGCCAGTCATAACTAGTAGGCACATTTCTCTGAAGCTGCTGTAAAATTCTATACAAAGAGAATGTCAGCCAGGCCATCATGTGATAAACAGAATGAGAGGATTAATGCTGTATCATCTCTGTCATGAGTGAAAAACAAACCTAGAACACTACAGAAGTGCAGAAACATGAAACCGGCTGCTTAAGCATACTTTAAATTTTAAAAAATGACAGAAAAAAATTGTGATTCTTCTAAGGACTACCAACAGGTAAGAATAAAATAGCAAGCTTATGCTCAACCTAAATAAACAAGCAAAAAAAAAAAAAAAAACTTACTTACATCCATACATTCCCGGAGGTCTCTTACATAAGCCTTTTCAGTTTGAATGAGCTCAGCCATTATGAACCTTAAGAGAGGAAGACAGTGAGGAGTCCAGTTAGGGTGCAATTTACTTCACTATCTACTTTTATGGATTTATGAAATAACAGAGAGGGTCTAAAAGTATTAGTCTTAGAGTGATCATTTTGGAGAGGTAAATCACAAATAGAACAACAGTATCCAGCCGCTAATTCAAAGGGGAAAACAAGATTTCTGCAAACATTTTATTGAGGTAGTGACAGATCAGGGTTTCTCCACCTGGCACTGTGGACATCCAGGGCCAGGTAACTCTGCTGTGGGGCTGTCCTCTGCACTGGAGAGTGCTCAGCAGCTTCCCACTAGAGGCCAACAGCACTCCCTGCCCCTCCCCACTGTGACAACCAAAGTGTCCCCTCACATTGCCAAGTGTCCCTGGGGGACGAAACTGCCAATGAAGAACCACTGGGTTAGAGCACTCTTATTTATTTACATAGGGTTTGCTAACTGGCAACTTTTAAACACCTAAATTTGTTTTAGGGGTGATAAAATCTATTAATTTCCTCTCCTTAGTATCAGTATCTATTAATGACAATTTGGCAACTCCACATGAAACACAGGCACAGGGATTAAAAACTAGGTGCTGTTTCTGAACCAGGTGATAAGAGAACAGTGAACCCAGTGAAGTCTGTGCCGACACAACTAAGTCCACTCAGAGCAACAAGCCTGGGTGCCATGTGACTTCAAAGCACATAGAGAAGCACGTCTGTCCAAACGACATTCTCTTCACTCTTTCAATGAATCCTGGTAGATTCTGAAAGACTGGCTTACTCTTTCCTGCGGGCAGATTTCCGCTTCTCTTCATTAAGTTCGTGAGCAGCATCTCGAAGTTTCACCTCTGAGCCAGGGATACTGGCTGGAATGATATCTAGCTGGAGACTTTTACTCTGTGGAATAAGAGAGCCAATGAACTCAGTTAATGAAATCAGCAAAGCGGGCGTCAGGAAGAAGACCATGATTTGTTCAGGTTGCACAAGGCCATTTACCGATTTGTTGGAATCTGAAGAAATCCCCAGGGCTTTTTCCAAAGAGGTCCTGTACTTCTCCATCCGCAGAGAGAAGTCTCTGTACCGCTTATCCACCGCAGTGACACATTTTTTTATCTCTGCCGCATGGGCATGCCCTTTCTCACAAAAGCCATCTGCCAGCTGTATCAATAGCTTCACTCTCTCTTTGGTTTGCTGCAAAAAACAACGGGAAAGTATTGTGAGGCAAATGAACCCGACTGCCAGAAACCTGAAACATAGTGGCGACTTGCCTCCAACTCCCAGCTCTGAACAGGAAAACCGGCTGGTGGCAGAAACTGAGACCAAAGCCCCCAGTCCATCCACTCCATCTCCCGGATTCTTGACCAGCTATCTTTCCTCAGCACTTCCACAATGAATGGCATTTTTATGACCTCAAAGAAGAAACTTAGACTATTTTTCAGCAATGTCTTCATCTAGGAGGTGCGCAGTAAAAATGCGTGAAGGAATGTATGTGAAGCACACAGTCTTCGCCATGCTGCTACTCTCCTCAAAGCTGCTGAGCAGACACTCCTCGCTCTGTGCACGTTTACTCTGTGCCCAACTGGACCCACGGCTCTTTCGGGGCAAGCAGACATTCGACTTTTTGGTTTTCCTGGAGCGTGTGTGGCCAAGGCTGTCCCCAGAGCAGGCACGCAACAAAATTCCTCATGAAGCTCCTCTGTATCATGTTGATTGCTTTTTTAACTCTTAGATAATGTGGAGGAAAATTCACTAGTCAGGAAATTATCTATATAGAGGTACTGTAAATTTTGTTTCCCTGTTTGAGAGCTCTCTCTAAAATTGTTCTATTTTATATGTACACAGAAAAGATCTTTCATTAAGTTAAGCATAATTTATTATTTTTCACAGAGATACACAGACAATCATAAACTAAGTTATATATACCATTTGGCAACCTCACTCAACTGGTCTGACAGATCTCTCTCCTCACATTCATTTCGATGGCTATTACTATTAAGCTTCCTTTGTTACAGTGTTTTCAAATAAGTGAGTTACTCTTCTTCTATGGAACCTGCTATTCTCCATTAAGCTTTAACTAGAAAATCTTTTTAACACATATTCAGGAAACTGACTTTAAAAATCCCCAAAAGAAAGAAGGTCAGAGTTCAAAACCCAGATAAATGATCTTAGCTTGTAAAATCAAAGTTCTAAGCCGTAAGTCACTGGGTAACCTGTGAAGTCAGCCGTCAAGATCCTCCAGACTCTACACAAATAACCCCAACACCCCAGCCAGCCCCCAGCCACCCAACAGCACCCCCATTCCCCAGCTGTGGCTCACCAACTCACCAACTCACCCTTCCAGGCCAGCACTGGCGCTTCTGCCTGGGGCCTCTGCACTGGCGCTTCTGCCTGGAGAGCCACTTCCCCAGATATCCCTATGGCTCCTTCATTTCTCTACTCAAATAAATGCCACTCTTTTAGCGGGCCCTCCCTGGACCCCTTTAAACTGCAGCTTGCCTCCCTGCCTATTCTTCTGCTCTGCTGCCTCCCGTACACGCAAGGCCTTCTGACAGGGGGTGCAAGTGATTTTTACAATCATCGTCTGTCTTTCTCCTGTGAGAACATCACCTTCACAGCCCAGAAATGTTTGCTTGTTTTGCTTACTAACATCTCTTACATTGCCACAAGGGCCACCTGTGGAGGGCACTGTTAACCACCTGTAGATCTATCTTCAAGGGGTGAAGAAAGCTATTGAGTGTTTTCAGTGATGGGGACACAGAAGTGAAGATAAAAAGATAATGCAGCTTGCCAAAATCAAACAAGAATTGTTCAGCAACTGAATGGTGTGACAAAAACTAAGTACTGTAAATCTGCTGACCTATGAACTTTAAAAATATCTCAGTATATTTTTACTTGCATTGGTATTTTTAAAATACGTTTACAGGATTCAAAATTTCAAAGTTAAAAAAGGAAGTAAAAACTCTTCCCACCCCACCTTCCACTGTCACTAGTTCCAATTACCAGCTTCTTGCTATCACTTCAGAGACATTTTACGTGCATGTACAAGCGAGTGCACAAATGTACATAAGTATTTTTCTCTCATTTTTTACACATATTCTTGCATACAACAAACAGTGCTCTGTATTAGTATTTTCTACTGAACAAATCCTAGTTGTCCTTCCTGATCAGAACTAAAGTCCTCGCCTGTGTTAAGAGCTGGGTAATATTTCACTATATGGATGTGAACTGTATGGATGGACGTAAGTTAACGTCTCTCCGCCAATAGGTCTCCGTGTTGTTTCCAAATTCCGTCTACCACGGCAACAATGCAAGAAATCAAACAGTTGCGTGACCAGTGGTTAGACACGTGCCTGAGTGCTGCTGCCGTAACACACATTGTGAGACCTGGAACTGCTGGGGCAGACAGCAAGTGCAGTATGAGCGGGCAGGAAGATGCCGCCAGAGGCCTCTGAGGGGCTGCCCTGCTCCATTCCCCCAACAATGGAGCCTCGTCCATGCAGCATGGGGTCCACCTTTTTGATCTCTGCCAATCCATTGGGTGAAATGAACTCGGTGTGGTTTTGATGCACGCTTTTCTGATATTAAGTTGATGATTTCATGGTGAAAGCCATTTATTCCCTTCCTATGACACATGTTTAGTATCTTTTGTCCATTTTCTTGGTCTTTTTTTTTCCTTATTGATTTGTAAAAGTTCTTTCCTACCGGGAAATCAGTCCTTTGTGATATGAGCTGCCTATATATCTTCTCTATTTGATTTTTATCTTTAGATGTTCCTTACAGTGGACTGCCCTGTGGAAAGTTTTACATTTTTTTGTGTAGGTGAATTTATTAACCTTTTCTTTCATGGGTTTGGATTTTGTGTCATTTAGACAAATTTCTCCACACGAGGATATAAAAAAATCCTGTTATTTCTTCTGGTACTATTAGGTAGCACTGCTGATATTTAAATCTTTTTCTGGTATTTATCTCGGTACTAAGGTGAGATATAAATCTAACTTAATTTTTTTTCCAAAGCCATTTATCTTGGAAAACATCATCAGAAAAAATTATTACATCTTTTAAAGTGAGCTATTATATGGATTTTCATTCTTATTCTATTTGTTATCTCTAGAGATTGTTACAGTGCTTAAAAAGCACATAAACATTTTAACTGAACAACCTCATCTGTAGGCATAATCGAGGAACCGGCGAAAAATAAAAGCAAACTGAAGTCTTAAGTCCACAAGCTCAAGAGAGCTTTGCTCATCATGTTCTTAGACAGAAATTCAATGGTGTTAGACACTTTCTAACAAAGTAAAGCATTTGGCATTGGGGACGCTGGTGATTAGGACCACAGGAAGCCCTATGGGAGAAAGGCTGTGGCATCCTGAACAGTTCAGTAAGGCGATGGTTTCTGGACCTCAGTGCGTGCAAAAATCACGTGGTGAGCTGTTCAAATGCTCATCCTCAGGCCTCACTCCAAGAGAGCCTACGTCACTAGGTTTGGAGTGAGGACGGAAATCTCTCTTAAATAAACACCCACAATCTGGATGCAAGTGGTGCCTGCGAGACCCGTGGAGAAACGACTGCACTGACAGTTGTGAAGGGACTGAGTCGAGTCTCGGTGAGCCGGTGATGGGAGACTCTTGTTTAGCCCTCCAGGTTCATTTCCATCAACACTAAAAATGTTATAACATCGTAACAAGTGTGCTGAAAGACTTTCCTTTCAGAGCTGGGAATTCTCTATACAGTAAAAGCAATATGGTTTCTTAGAAGATTCTAAGATCGGGTGACAGAAGGCAAGTGAGGAAGCCTCAGCTCATGATGAAAAATCAAAGGACATCTCCAAACACCAAAGCAGGCGTTTTCTGATTAAGAGAAAGGCAGTCAGAAACCAAAGAAAAAGATTGCTAAGAAAAGGAAAGGTGAGGGGTGTTCTTTTCAAAATCTACCAGTTCCTCCTAGTATAACCAATTCAATAAACCCAACAAAAGAAACAGTTCTACATATTTGGGGATCAGAAAGGTCATGTATCACTCACAATTTTAGATATTCCTTATAAAATACAAGAATAAAAAATAAGCCTATCCTTGCCCAATCTTTCAATAATCGCACACCAAACTTGAGGAAAAGGAATATTCGGGAATGGAAAAACTCTTTCATTCTTTCATATACACTTTACTAGTGGAATAGGCCACCATGTTACTCAATTCCAGACAGTCACGTGCACATCACATCCCCCATGCACGGCCCCTGGAGCTGGGCAGTGAGCAGCCTGGCCGTACACAATGGCCTGCAGAGTGGAGTAGTGGTGAAAGATGGCAAATCTTAAATCTAGCTTTGAGTGTAGTATGTGATGTTAGGCATTCTGTTAATACCTTTATAATCAAACGATATTCAAATAAGCAAACATAGCTTGGGACTTCAGGCACACACACCACCATGCCCAACTAATTAAAAAAAATTCTTTTTGTGGAGACAGGATCTTGTCATCTTGCCCAAGCTGGTCTCGAACTCCTGGCCTCAAGTGATCCTCCCACCTCAGCCTCCCTTGAGCTCAGGAGTTTGAAGAGGATCGCTTGAGCTCAGAAGTTTGAGGATACACTGAGCCATTATGGTGCCACCGCATTCCAGCCTGGGTAACAGAGCAAGATTCCATGACTAACACACACACATACACCCCTAAATACAGGTCATATAATGTGCATAACTATTATTTAATATCTAAATATTAACAAAAAGTGAAAACTGTCCAGCCAGGTGTGTATGTGGAGGAGGAAAAGCCACAATCCTTACCCACAGGGGAGGGTGGGTCGGCCCTCCTGAGTGCTCACTGTGCCTCTGGGGGCAGTTACTGTCCCATGGTCCTGCCCCCTGCCCTCCCCCAGTGCTCACCACACCCTGACCCTGGGCTGGGTCTTCCTGCTGCGCCCCCCATGCCTGGTCTCTCTGAAGCCCTGCTTGCCTGTGTGAGCCTCCAGGATAGGAGCCGCGGAAAAGGAGAGAGCCCAGCACCTCAGGGCCAAGGGAAAGCAGAGCTTTGGGGACCAGGAGCAGAGGGTGGCAAAGAGGAGCCGGAGGAGTCAGCAATAGTAACAGAAAACACAAACATGGGCAAATAAACAATACAAAGTAGCCATCCTCTCTCTACGTGACTGAAAAATTCCTGTTACGTTTTCAAAGCCAGGGCAGGGGCTACGGGAGATAACCAATTTTGCTACTTTATAGAAACACTTCTTTTTAACCAAAAATATTATCCTGCTTATCATTTATTTCCCACTCTTATACATTTGAAATAATTGGCAGCTTTTCCCAAAAACTCGAATCTGTCATCAACAATAGAGGCACTTCGGAAAATACTACAAAGGACGTATACTCAGACTTTGAAAAACAAAAACCCCACAGGTTGCAGTGGTGACTCCAAAAGAGTCTCAAAACTATTGTGAGCGCTTGGAAGGACTCAGCCTCTGCAGGTATAAGCCTTAATTGGGACGACGTTCAGGTCAGTATGCGGATTCTTGTATTTGTCCTCAAAAAGCCGTATTTACTCACATATATGCCATAAAGATAATTCGATTTCATAATTTTCTTTTTATTTTCAGGAGAAAAATGAAAATGCCTCAAGTTTTAGACACCTCTGAACAAGCACTAACAGAGGCGATGACACAGACTCTGCCAACCATAAAACAGACACAACTTCAAGCTGGACTGAGCATGAGCAACATGACTGTAACAGTTTTCACCATGTAAAGATGGTGAAACACCCCCAGGTGTAGGAAAGAAAACACCCCGAGAATACATAAAGGTCAACTTGGGGACACCAAACAGTGTTTCACAAAAATAGCAAGTCCTCGGAAAAGACCTTGGAGAAGAAAACAGGAGGGGGAAAGTGTAGAAGGGAATGATGAGAAAAACAAGGAATAAAAGGAGACAGACGGCGGTATTCACAGACATCAGAGGGACAAAGGACACAGATGAAGGGAGGAGGTGGAGGACACAGAGAGACACATGTGAATGGCAGGAGGAAGCATCCCCCAGTTAATGTGGAACAGCCCACTGGGTCATCCCTTTTCTCCAGTCTCATGAGGTATTTCTTCATGATATTTTTGAGAAAGACTCGCTTTCGACTTACAGGCTACTACACAAAGTCCACTCTGAACCCACCTTTGCAGTTATCTGGAACTCCTCGTGCTCTTTCAGGAGCTCCTGGGTGTGCTGTATACTGGAGCCTGTGGAGGTGTGCGTGGAAAGGTAGAACTCGCCATTGTCATGGATCCATTCCAAAGCCTGGAATGGGAAGGAATGAATGGAGTCAGCGGGCTAAACATTCCCGAGAGAAGCCCAAAGGCCGCAGCACCTCGCTGAAAGGTCAAATCGCAAACCAAGGCTGGCAGCATCGAGCAGCATTCCCTCTCTGAAATAAAACTGAAGTCTGATCACAATTACAAAATTTTTAAAAAGCACATTCTAGATGGTTATAATGGTGTCGCTTATGTGGCAACAATAAAAAGTTTGAGTTTCTTAGTATTCCATAGTGTATATGTGTCACATTTTCTTTATCCCATCTATTGTTGATGGGCCTTTGGGTTGGTTCCAAGTCTTTGCTATTGTGAATAGTGTTGCAATAAACATACGTGTGTATGAGTCTTCATAGTAGAATGATTTATAATTCTTTGGGTATATACCCAGTAATGGGATTGCTGGGTCAAATGGTATTTCTGGTTCTAGATCCTTGAGGAATCGCCATACTGTCTTCCACAATGAACTAATTTACACTCCCACACACACAAAAGTTTGAGTTTCTTGCAACCACGAACCTAAAGGCACAATAAAAGCACAATGAAAGAAACCACTACTATGAGCCTTTTTCAGGAAGGGACTAGAGTGGAGAGAGAGGGGAGGCAGCTGCCCTGGGGAGCACCCTGGAGCAGAGGGGCAAGGGGACACGGCCAGGGCAGCAGTGGGAACTGGGACGGGGCTGAGAAACCCACAGGTCTACGCCTCCTGGACCTGGTGCAGGAGCGAGGAGAGGAGGAGGAGGCAGGGCGCAGGGAAGAGGCTGAGAAACCCAGAGGTCTGCGCCTCCTGGACCTGGTGCAGGAGCGAGGAAAGGAGGAGGAGGCAGGGCGCAGGGAAGAAGCTGAGAAACCCAGAGGTCTGCGCCTCCTGGACCTGGTGCAGGAGCGAGGAGAGGAGGAGGAGGCAGGGCGCAGGGAAGAGGGAAGCGAGAACACCACACCTAGTGGTTTCTAACAACAAGACAAGAGGGACATGGGGACAGGGAACCGCGATTGCAGTTCTGCTTCTGGTAAAGTCACTGTGGAGCGATGTCAAGGAAGTGGGATTTATGAATCCGGAGACCAGAAATGGAGGCCCGGGCTGGCAGGCAGCACACAGAAAGAAGAGGAAAGACAAGAACAAGTCACAACCGAGCGCCAAGAAAGGCAATGGACAGACTGGGAGATGAGCAGGAAGGAGATAGGAAGGAGATAGGAAGGAGATAGGAAGGAGATAGGAAGGAGATAGGAAGGAGAGCAGCAAGGCCTGGGGCAGGCAGCCAGCAGGCGGGAGGGGCCTGCGCCACGGCACGATCAGCGAGAGCCCTGGAGGCCGGTCTGCGGAAGCACCGGGTATCCGCTGCACACTGTGACAGTGAACAGAAGCGGAACGGCCGGAAGGCAGACGGGGCACCACCTGCAACAGCACGCACTTCAGGATTTTATTTTCGGTGAATACGTGGACTTTAGGAAAATGCAACAATACATTCCATTATCTTTCTCTGACAACAGAATTATGAACAATTTTGCTTCTCTGTAGCTGAGGGATTCCTTGTCTTTCAATGGAGAGATAATATAGTTATGTGAGAAAAGAACCTGAAACCATCTCTAATTAGAAATCCAACCAGGCCTCCAATGATCTTAAATACGGTTAAACTGTCTAATAAAATGTTAAGAGAGTATAATTTACCAAACGCGACTGCATGCACCTGGCTATTGGGAACATGCTGGCTACACCTGGAATGTCGCTGGGAGGAGAGAAGGGCCAAGGCAGAGCAGGGCGTCAGATCCCTGGCCTAGGAACCCAGTTCATCCAACTCTGGGAACTGAGTTCTGAGCATGGGCTGCATCCTTCGAGACCTACATTTTCCAAAATGGAACAAAAGCTGTTCCTTAAGTCTGAAATCTCTGCTAAGAAAGTTAATTTTTCTTCAGCTAAAAAGCATGTATCCAATGCCTGCTCTGGATCAGCTGCATATCAGGTTGCAAGCCGGATTCAGAAGATGGGTCCGCATCGTGGTCAGAATGTGGGTCAACACCGACTGACATCACAGAATTGCCCTGGGTGACTTTAAGGCACCCAGACCAGGGCCAGGCCACACACAGGCGCTGGGGGAATCACCTTCTCTCCTGTGCTTCCCTCCAGACCCCCCAAATTCTGGATGAAAGTTTACGGATTCCTAAGCTCCCATTGAGGCAAAACAGAAGTGACAGGCATCTTAATGCTTAAGATGGGGTCAGATTTTACAATAAAATGATCTTCCATGACTGATGATACAGGCAGAAGCACTTCATCCTAAAATGACCTAAGAAGGGGATGCTCCAAATGTGCCCCCTTGATACATCAACAGTTTTTGACTATACTAAATTATTAGAAATTCTGGGCCAGGTGCGGTGGCTCACGCCTGTAATCCCAGCACTTCAGGAGGCCGAGGCGGGCAGATCACCTGAGGTCAGGAGTTTGAGACCAGCCTGGCCAACATGGTGAAACCTCATCTCCACTAAAAATACAAAAATTACCCAGGCGTGGTGGTGGGCACCTGTAATCACAGCTACTTGGGAGGCTGAGGCAGGAGAATTGCTTGAACCTGGGAGACGGAGGTTGCAATGAGCTGGGACTATGCCACCGCACTCCAGCCTGGGCGACAAGAGCAAAACTCTGTCTCAAAAAGAAAAAAAAAAAAAAGAAAAAAGGAAAGAAATTCTGTCACATTTCTTACTTAATTTTAGCTTGATTCATTGGAAAAATAAAAACTTTGTCTTGAAAATATAAATACATCAATATTAAAAAAGCCATTGTATTTACCTCAGTACAGAACCAAGATTCCCTAATAGTTTTTAAACAGTCCTCATCATTATGACTTGTACTCTGCTATCTTAGAGATGAGGTAAAGACAGCAGGGGAAAGCACACGTGTTGGGGGTCAAAAATCACGCAGTGACATGCTTTCACCAGGCTGTGGGGTTTTCTTTTCATAACAAACATAACTAGAAGGCAATACTGTTTGTCATTAGAAAGTGGTTTTCAAGAGGGCGGACATGTCAAGCTTGGCCTCTCTGTGGAGGCAGGTGTAAGCACGGGGGTTTGCGGGGAGGCTGGGCACCAGGTGTGCACTGACCTGCTTGGCACTCCTCTCAAAGACCACGTACTGCTGACACTGGTCCAGCCGTCTTTTCCTCATGGTCCAATAATGCAATACCCTGTTCTCCCGCTGGAAGAGCTCATTCAAGATATCTGAGAGAAAAAAGAAAATGATGTATGTTGGTGCTTGCAATCAATTAAAACAGCTGCAAAATTCCATTCATTTTTATTGAGATTTTTAGGCAAATGCCATGCCAAGACAGCACGATAAATAAAGAATCGCGCTGCTTTCCTGTCTCAGTGAGCATGTCAACCAGACCTCTTCTCACTCTCACCTCCGTTGAGCATCTTACGATAAAGAGACCACTGGAAATTTGAGGTCAGTCTGTCATACCTCCGGCTGGATGGAGTCGTGGGATATGTGTATTTTGTAACATGCATTCGACATAATGCACAAGTTGGTAATATGCAATTTGACAATGGCTGAAAAAAAATCAGCATTTTTTTCAAGACTGTTAAAACCTTGTGTAGATGGAGTTTTATACAGATTAAAGGTTATATCAAAGTGGTGGAGTAATAATCAACAAGTGTGGATTTAAAAAAAAAAAAAAAACACCAAAAACCAGGCCGGGTGCGGTGGCTCACATGTGTAATCCCAGTACTCTGGGAGGCTGAAGTGGGCGGGTGGATCACTTGAGGTCAGGAGTGCAAGACCAGCCTGGCCAACATGGTGAAACTGTCTGTACTAAAAATACAAAAATTAGCAGGGTGTGGTGGTGGGCGCCTGTAGTCCCAGCTACTTGGGAGGCTGAGGCAGGAAAATCGCTTGAACCCGGGAGGCAGAGGTTGCAGTGAGCCACGATCGCATCATTGCACTCCAGCCTAGGTGACAGGGCAAGACTCCATCTCAAAAAAAAAAAAAAAAGAAACACAAAACCATAACCCCTTAGGAGAGGAAAGGACATGAAGTGGGGAAGCAGAGAAGCATGAAGTTACAAAGGAAAAAAAAAACTCATTACACAAACATTTAAAATGTCATAACCAAACAAGAACCACCAAAAACTGGTGCACAGACAAGATCTTTTTAAGAATTGGGAACATATGACACAGAATAGTCAACAGAAAAATAATGAACAATTCTTTAGAAGAAGAATGAGCAAAGCCTATAAATATGAAGTTCACAATTTAAAAAATACAGTCACTAAATATACAGGAACACATTTAACCTCAAACAATGAGACCATCTTTCACTGCTTTCCTGGCAGACGGATAAGATCCAGTGTTGGAAAGAGTGAGGGAACAGGTAATCATGATCCTCTATTATGGAAGAAGAAAAACTGAGTATGATGACCCCAGGGAATGACACTGAAAATGTGCATGCATACCTTTGAACTGGGAATTTATCTTTCAGATGAACAGTGCTCACACAAGTATTCAAAACTGTTTGGACAAAGATGTTTGAACAGTGAAGCGCTGCTTAGAACAGTGGAAAATGGGCAGCAACGTAGGACCCACCAATTGAGGGGCAGGTCAAATCAACTTCAGAAATGCTATACTGGGTATTAAAAAGAACAGCATGTCTTTAAATTCTGACACAGAAAGATGACTAAGATATATTATTAAGTGAAAGATGCAAGTTGCAAGGTAATATAGTCTCATTTTTGTAACAAATTAAAAAGTGGGATGGGTGAGTGAAATATACATGTTTATATTTCTCTACGTATTTACATTTATATGCACAGACAGCTTGCACAAAAGTCTTGACAGTGGTTACCAGTAGCTAAGGAATTAGATAACTTATATACATTTGTACACTTTTTGAATTTTTGACACTAAGTTTGTTTTGCTCTAGAAGTTTATGAAACAAACAAAAAACTTAAGAAAAAAATTTCCGAGAGTGAAACTGCAAATCAAATAGAGGGTTCCTGGCAACTTTATTATATTGGAAAACCATTAATATAGGAAGTTTTCCACAAATACTTACTGAGTTCCTAGCAGGCTGTACTTTGTGATAAACAAGAACAGAAGAGCAGCATTTACATCCAGCCTAACAACAGACTCTCTCAATACTACCTCCAAAATGAACCCCAAATTTACTGACTTTTCTCCATCTCTACCATTATCACCCTAAATACCACCATATTCTTAAGGTGACAATATGGTGTCACCATTTTTGATGACAATAAAAAATGCCTTTAGACACTGCCAACTATCTCCCAGGGACCAGTGGTCATGCTGTTATTTTTACTCCACTGAAGAGGAAACTAGTTTAGTGAAATAAATTAAAAGTTTGAAATCTGAAGTCTGCTAAAAAAATTAAGCTGTCACTTACATGAAAATATCACACATGAAAATTAATATGAGCCAAAGCATTTTTTCTAGTCTCTCATTTCCACAGTCTCTGCCTGAGCCAGTACTAATTTTGGGCAAGTGAGCAGCAAACGGTGCTAAGTGCCCTCTTGGATATGGTGCTTCCTCAAGCTCCTGGGGCGGGGGGGGGGGGTCCTCTGACCACGTGGTCTGAGATTCATCTTTGCCTGTGCCTTGGGGTTATACTGTCTTTTCTGCCACCATTACTCTTACAGGAACTTAGTGCACTGACTCGAGCATAAATAAACCTTTCACCCCCAAGTAGCTCTGAGGGAAACAGAACACTTCTATTTTAATTCTTCACAGCATCCAACATTAGGATATACAATAGCAAAGGCATAATGAAGATCTAATGAGGAAATAAATGAAACATAGTCTCCCTCTCACACACAAACGTGTGTCAAACTAGTGCAACCTAGAAAGGACCACAATATCTTCAATCAGAAAAGACAGGACACAACCAACAAATAAAAGCAATATTGAGAGATGGATGAAAGGACATTATTTTTATAGGAAATGAACCAAGTAAACCAATTATCAATGCAAACAACTTGCTGGCCCAGAAGACTTATTCATGTAGAAAAACGGTTGCTTTTGTGAGTTGCACATTTTTCCAGAAGAAAAAGTCCATCAATAAAAATGTTTTACTGATAGAACTTAGAGAATTACAGTAGTGTAACAAAATTATTTTGTGACAACTAACAGATGAATCAGATGAGTAGACAGTAGAATGTAATGTAGAAAGTTTTTGTCTATCATATTGTTTTGAAAAGTGTGAGATGAATCATTTGCTAACTGATTATCACAATTTTTTTCCTATAAAACTCAACTTAGGCTGTGTAGCCCTGGTCAAAGTTACTTGCTTTGCGCCTTAGTTTCTTTATCCATTTTCCTTCCACATCAATCCTATTACAATTTAGTATACGTTTTCCCAGACCTTTTCTTAAGCACTTACATACATACACACACACACACACACACAAAAAACATGGTTTTATAGGTTTTTATACTCAAATGACATAACCTACATATTATTTTTCAATTTGTTTTTATTAACTATGCCTCAGGTATACAAAATTGATAATACTTCATAGTGATAAAATTGGGATGTATTTTCTCAATTTGGGCTTTTAAAAATACTTTGCTTATAGATAACTCTGGTTTTTCCTTTCCCCCTATTTATTTTTCACTTACTTTAACAAAATAGCCAATGGCAGTAAATATCATCCTGATTTTGCATTTTCTCCCTGTTTATATTCTTCAACTTATTCAATAAATTATCAACCTATTCAATATAATATCAGCCTATACATTTGTTTAATCTTTCACTATTAAACTAAGATCATTAGTAAGGACTTCATTAACATGAAACGGACATTTAAAACGAAACTGAGGTTGAGAGTTCAGAACACGTCGTGCAGGCTCCTTCCGTCTTTTGCCAGGCATGCACTGGGCCGCCCCCGGGGATTCCCAGCTCTACTCACTTTTCACTTGCTGTTCAGGAGCTTTGATGTGCGTCACCATTCCTGGCATGTTCACACTGTTCCTGTGCAGGTATTTCAGGAAGACATCTGCATTCCTCCGAGCAAGGGTGCAAGCCTAAAAAACAACGGAGAGCGATGTTTGGCTAATTTGACTTCTACAAACGTGTATTTGGAGTACACATCACTGGGCCCTAATATATGTCTTTACCTACAACATTTATCTGGCCAGTTTCTGATTTAGAAAATGCATAGGATAAAACCTAATTCAATTAAAAAATCTCTCTCTTTCCTGAAGCCCTCGCTCTGATGACACCTGCTGCTACATTCTGCCCTATAGAGAGGCCCATGGGGCAGGACACAGAGGGCAGCCCCTGCTTTATGGTCACAGAGGAAGGGAAGCCCTGTCTCCATCCAGCCTGGAGAGGTTTGCACACCTGGCCTGCCCCTGGATCACGGCCTGAGACCTTGAGCTGCAGAACTCCGCTGGGCTGTGCCTGGATTTCTATACAGGGTAGACAGTAAACACTTCCAGTTTTGGGGGCGGTCATACAGTCTGTTTCTCCGTCACAACTACTCAAACCAACAACCGATGAAAGTAGCCAAAGGTGACAGGTAAACTATGTCGAGGTGGCCCAACTTAGCCCTCAGTTCATAGTTTGCCAACCTTGGTTGAAGCTTTGTTATGTGATGTCATTGTGGTAACTGACAGTATGTGTTTATGTTTATGCAGCCGGATAAACCAAACCAGTTTCATTCATATATTTTAACATAAGGGTTTTATATAAAAGAATACAAATATAAAATCAAAGAAGGAAAAAACTCTTTAATTATATTTGAATTGGAAACATCTTGCACATTTCCTGTCTTGGGTCTGGAATTAATCTTTTCTTCAAGGAGCTCTATCTCCTTCTAGTGGTAAACGGTATTTAGAGCCCACAGTCTAGTCATTCGGGATGATCAGGGCTTTTGGGTTGGTCACTGTTTCCAGACCTTTTCAGTAGATGGAGCGAGGCTATCTTTTTTTCAATTAAGAGAAAAATACATCATGAGTCTCTACTGATCTGTGTGAAATTTCAAGTTGTCTGATATGGTCTGGCTCTGTGTTCCCACCCAAATGTCATCTTGAATTGTAATCTGAATTGTAATCTACACGTTAGGGGAGAAACCTCGTGGGAGGTGACTGAATCACGGGGGTGGTCCCCCATGCTGTTCTCGTGCAGCGAGTGAGCTCTCACAAGATGTGATGGTTTTGTGAGGGGCTTTGCCCTGCTTCGCCCTGTACTTCTCTCATTCTTCTCCTTCCTGCACCGTGTGAAGAAGCACGTGTTTGCTTTCCCTTCTGCAGTGGCGGTAAGTTTTCGAGGCCTCCCTGTCCTGTGGAATTGTGAGTCAACTAAACCTCTTCCTTTTATAAATTACCCATTCTCAGGTATTTCTTCACAGCAGCATGAGAATGGACTAATACACTGTCAAAACCAAACAACACGGAAGACGCTGAAGACTACGAGGGTGATGGCTAAGGACAGCTAAGCAACCTGCCTTGAAAGGGCTCCTATGGATAGGACAAGCGGCGTGTTAAAAGATAAATGACAGAGACTGCTTTGAAACACACCAAATATATTTAAAGCCATGATGATACTAAAAAAAAGTCATATGTAGAAGTTACTATAGCAACAATTCATTATCCTGAAAATGGCAAATAAAAAGGATCAAGCAAGCATTTACTCTGCCTTTTCTGGACAAACTCTATTTTAGAGTAACCAAATAACTGAGAGGGAATAACTCTAGATAATCGAGGCCAAAGGAAATGACAGAATTAGAGTATCACCATTTTGCAATTCCTAAAAACCAGCTACCACCACTGGGTGCTAACCCCATTAGCTGAAAGGCGGAAGGGAAGTACAGAGGGGTGAACTGCACTCACCATACTTGAACCACTGATCAATCTTCTTACCAATCACAGAGACAGAGAACTAGACTTGATGTGTCTCCTGAGCAACCCCATAGGAAGCACAAGCACCACTGGCAAGGTTTTCCAAGCTCGCTCGCGCTCTCTCGCTCTCTCTCATCCCCACCTCTTTCTTCCCCCACCCCACCACCCCACCCCCATCACCTTTCAAACCAGCTCTGATCAAGGCTCACAACCTAACAAAAATCTAGAAATTGTGGATGGTGCTAAATGACTCCACAGGCTGTAATTGCCAATCTGGAATGGGGGAAGTGCCACAATCTGAGGAACCTATTTCTTCAATTAATAAATAGTAATGAAAGGAGGGAATATTGTTTAGATTAAAAGTGATTCCAAAGATATACCCAGCCAAATCCATACATGGACCCTGTTTGAATCTTAATTAAAACCATGTATAAAAAGACATTTGTAGGCCAGGTGTGGGGGCTCATGCCTGTAATACCAATAATTTGGGAGGCCAAGGTGGGAGGATCACTTGAGCCCAGGAGTTTGAGACTAGCCTGGGCAACATAAGAAGACCCCGTCACTACAAAAAAAATACAAAAATTAGCCAGGTGTGGCGGCAAGTGCCTGTAGTCTGGCTCCTTGGGGGCAGAGGTGGGACGATCGCTTAAGCCCAGGAGCCTAAGGCTGTAGTGAACTATGATCACACCCATGCACTCCAGCTTGGGTGACAAAGGAAGACTCTGTCTCAAAAAAAAAAAAAAAAAGACATTTACAGAACAATCAGAAAATTTAACAATGCTGGATTTCAGATAATATTAAAGAATTACTATTAATTTTTAAGATAAGATAATGATATTTTATTTGTATTTCTGAAAGGGAGAATTTACTGTTTAAATTCACAAATAAAATGATAAATCTAGAATTTTAAATAATCCACTGAAGGTGGATATAGGCCCATAAATTGATAATCAGTGAAGATAGGTGAGTAAAATAGGAGGAGAATCCATTCTCTCTACTTTTGTATATATCTTCAAATTTCCACAATAAAAAGGTACTTAAATATCCTATACACAAACACCACAAAATTCAAGTTGAACAAAGGAATCCAAAAAGGCTTGTGATTACAGATGCTCCTTGGCTTACCCTGATAAACCCATTGTAAGTTAAGTTAAAAATGTTATAAGTCAAAAATGAACTGATTGCACCTAATCTACTCAACATCCCAGTTTAACTTAGCCTAGTTACCTTAAATGTGCTCAGTTTAAGCCTACAGTTACCCTGGCCTGCAGCTGGGCAAAACCATGTAAAACAAAACCTATCTTATAATCCCATGTTGACTATCTCATGTAATTTATCAAATGCTGCACTGAAAGTGAAAATCAATGGTTGTTTAGCATTTGACGTGCAGGTTCTACTGAATGCACAGCGCGCTGGCACCAACAAGTCGAAAAATCACAAGTCAAACCACCGTAACTTGAGGACTGCCTATATTTTTGTTTTGTAATTTTACCTAAATAGCTATCTTAATTACATGAACTAAGTGGTATTTATTTTTCTTTCACACTAAATGGATCCTGGACAAAGGGGAGAATTCTAATGATTCCACCTCGAAATCCTAATAGTGGTCAGCATTTAGTAAACTTAAGCAGCAGGGACATGTCAGGGGCAGGGGCTTTAAAAAGGTGTTGACACAGTTATAAAGACTGACTGTGGAAACTGTGATGGTTTTCTCACCCCGGGAGCTTGCTTAAAAAGAAAACCACCGTGGTGGGAGCACAAAGTAAGTTACCAGATACAATTGCCAAAGAGTTACAATTTATCCTCACAGACTGAACAATAACTCTGTCCGTCAGATGATGGACTTCAGAAAAAAACACAAAAAGTATTAGGTGTAACAGGAAAGTGGTCAGAGAGGTGAGAGCGCTGCAGCAATGAGGAGGTAAGGAGGACAAGTGACCACCACCCCTACTTTTAATGGGCCTGGGCGGTGATAACAAGCAGAGCCTCAGAATTTCTGTAAGAGCCCAAGAATGCAACAGGGAACATTCACACCAAATGTTGCTAAATGTTTCAACTACTTTGAAAAATGTAACTGTTCCAAAGCACATCTGTGACCATGTATGACTAAATGTGACATACATAAAAATATGACAGAGCACTGTAGGCCCAACTACTAGGGAGGCTGAAGTGGGAGGATGGCTTAAGCCCAGGAAGTTCAAGGTTTCAGAGAGCCGTGATTGCACCACGGCACTCTAGCCTGGGTGACAGAGTGAGACCCTTTTTCTGAATTAAAAACAAAAAATAAACAACCAAAAAAAGAGAAAAAGTAGTCTTGAAAAATTCCTCATTTAAAGCTTTTCAGAGAGAAAACTCCCAGTCTGGTCTGCATGTGACACATTTCTCTTGTCAGAAGCATTTCCTGAGTAGGTTATCAGTGACTGCCACCCCAAGCCGTGTGGCGTTTGCACCGTGTCTCCTCCATGCCACACTTACACCTCTTCCGAGATGCAATCTTCGTTCCCTCTGAAGGGAATGAAGAGGCTGAGTTTCCAAAGGAAGATTATTTTAAGCTACATTTGTATTGTTTTTCACCAAATCAACCGATTTGGTTGATTAATCAATCAACAGAGCGATTGATTAATCGCTCTGTCTCCAGAATCACTTGGCATTGTGACTTCCAAACAATCCTTATTCATACAGATTTTCAGCTATTTCCCTGTGAAAACTAGAAAGACAGGGCAATCGCATATGAAAAAGATGTTAAGGTTTTCTTTCTTCAGCTGACTTCTCACTGATGTGATACTGCCCTTGTTACATTCCACAGCAGGCAAGAGCTATGGGGCACGCTCCCTTAGGAAGCGATGACTGGTGCCACCGCGCGCCTGGCAGCAGCGAAGCCCTCTGCCTGGGTGCACTGTCCGGCAGCACTGCCCCTACCTTCAGGCAGGAAGCCTCTGCTGGGTGCACTGCCCGCGGCGCGGCCCCTACCTTCAGGAACGCCTCCTTCTGCTCCAGGTGCTTGCTGATCATCGGTGTCACGTGGTCTGTCTCGGAGTTTGGGCCCAGCTTATCCGCCCCGCCACACCAGTCTTCTTCTCTCTTGTACTCCTGTTCCAGGCTCTCGAGGACGCTGCAGACCTGTAAGCAGGAAAAGTTCGAGGCTCAGACTTGGCATCTGCCATTGCCGACTGGTATCTCTGGAAAGCCCTTTCAGTCGGGCTCTGGGGATGAGATGCTGTCAGGAAGATCACATAAGAAGGAGCCATGGGCTCTATCTGGCTGGAGAACAACTACAGGGTCAAAAGCAGGCAGACCTTTCAGAGCAAGAACAAAACCAAAGCAAATATCCTGTCTCTCTCTGATGTGTTTCAGGTCATATGTTTAAATGACAAGAGCGGTGTCTTCTCAGCTACTTTCTAGCTTATTACTCTTTGACATCTAAGGTATACAGGAATAATTTTAACTCCAGAAAGCCCTTTCCCTGCTGGACTTGCAACTGATTGGTTCAATAATGACTGACATGTTAACAATGATTGAGTTGTCCCAAGAAATTAAGCTCAAAATAAAGTATCAGTGGAGAGTTCAAGGGAGGGAACCTCTCCCGACCTGCTCTGAGGTTTTGTAGAAAGCGACAGAGGCGTTGACGAGCTTGAGGCGATCTTCCATCTTGAGCATGAGCTGCTGCCAGTGAGATGCCACCTTCTCGGCGCAGTCCCGGATCATGTCCATATCGTAGTGGTTGGCCTGTAGCATGGCTTCTGCCTTCTGCTGCACCTGCAGCGCACTCTGATGTGTTTTCTAGAGACAGACAAAAAAAGGGAAGCCTTATTTGCCAGTGTCCCCACTGACTAGAAAGCAACCAGGATGGCTACAGTTACTCTGTTCTTGATGATTTTGTGGAAATACCTTCAGTTAATACTCACTAGGACGCTTCTAAAAGCACAACAGACAGTTTAGGAAAAAAGGTTTTATGCCCAGGAACAACTAGGTCTATGTTTAAATTAGCTAAACGAAGGATGAAATTCATCAGGACCTCCCAGAACGGGTCTCAGTTGCAGGGTTCTTAGTCTGAAAAATAGCAGGAAAGACCCTTAACAGCCAAAGAAGCAGTTGAAATGTTCCAAGTTTATTATTCCTATTGATCCTTCTCATAATAGCTGCTGGAAGCAAATGAACAAGTAGAGAAAAGGTGGCCAGAGTGAACGCCTTTTATTTTCACTTGCAACTTTAACTTTGGACTCCAGTGAAAAGCTTTCAAGAACTATTGATTTTAAAAAGGAAAGGAAAAACAAATAAAAAGCTAAGAATGAAACAACTGTGTTCTCTGGAGGTCCATGCCATCTGATAAATCCATACAGACAGCATGGCAAATGCAGTAAGATTTTGCTCGTCTGTCCTCACTAGAAGAACCAGGGCGGGCTGAGAAGTCAGCTTCTCTCCAGTGAGCCGCAGAGCCAAGGGAGGGGGTGGTCAGGGAGAGCACAGGTCTCTGAGGATACAAGATTTTTTTTAGACAATAGCAAAACCTTTCATTTCACCTGAAAAAGTACAAATGATCCCATAAAACACTATATACAATATATTTTAATCCTTTACCCAGACACAGTGATTTATTACTTGCAATTTAATTACTAGAAATCCCTTGGCACAGTATACAGATGCCCAGGGTTTGCATCTCAGGAAGAGCTGTTAATGCACGTCCAATGGCATCAAGCAGTTGACAATAAATTAATCTAGGGAATAAATTAGTGGCAACTTCTATAGCTTCCTTCTCTGGCTGACAACATGTGAGCAGAGGAGGGGAGATAACATTTCTGTAATCAAATGTTTTTTCCTTTGACATTACCTCACCACTACCAATCAGAACCATTACCCATGTGCCCTACCCGTACCAAAAAAATAAAAATCATTAGTCCACATGCTGACAGTGAATTGGATCACGCCTGGAATTAGCCTAAGTCATTTTGCTACAGTTGTCGCATACAGACCCTTGTTAAGGTGAACAAGGCTGCTTTTAAGCAGGAATCTGAGGAGTTCTGCTGTCGGCATTGTTTACGGACTGATAGTGAATTCATGATATACACCTGGTCTTGGTGAGCTCTCTGCTTGGTTGAGGTTGGTAACATAGGAGAAACATACTTATGAGACCAGAAAGATATTAGAAAACCTCAGCTGAGACTGCAATGTGGGCTCCTTGGTTCTGAGCTGTTCCAGATCAGAGAAAGTGCATCTTGCCAGGACCCCTACAATAGGAGAACAGGAACCCCCTGGATTCAGGATGTTTGTCCTGAGGAATGAAAGAGCCAAAGCACAGAGAGGCCCAGCGCCCTTACCTCAATGGCATGCTGGAACTGCTCGTGCTCTCGTTGGAGCTGCTCTGCCTCTTGTAACGAGCTGGCTGTGATAAGTCCGGCATTTAACATGGACTCCCCGTTGCGGATCCAACCCAGCACCTGAAACATTACACAGGGTAACTCCAAGCAGCGGACTTTCCAGAGAATCCTGTGGACCATCAGGGGTGAGATATGAGCGTGCAAGGCGGTCCAGTTGCTCCTGGCAGGTACAAGGCACTGATGGCTTCATCATCCTCCTGGCAACAGCCTGATGTTCTTCCATGGTACCTGATTGCAAGTGCTGCATCTTTTTAATTAGTTCTGTTATTTTAGTAGCAAATGGGAAATGAAAAGGTGGAGGGTCCAGTGGATTGTTGATACTAGTCCACAAGCCAGAATAGATTCAGGGCTACATTTTAGAAAACCTACTGACACCAAGAATTCCCTGATAATCAAGAAAAGCATTTTTCATTCTCTTTCAGCATTTTTAGGACTGAAAAACTGGCAACTGCTTGAAAAGTGGGAACTAATTTATTTCACGAACTAATTTTCCAATTTACCTGCAGTGTTGAACGGCATAATAAAAAAGGTATGAGTAACACCGTGCTACAATGATCAGGTTCAAACCATGAGCTTCTCAACTGCACACACACTCAGAGGAAGTAAATTCTGACAGTGGAAACCACAGATTGTGGGAGGTCTTCTGGATAGTTGGATGTGGAAGAGACCTCAAGTAACCTATATAATACCTATTGCCCTCTCGCTTACTTAGCACAGAAGTACTTTTATTGCCTAAGCCCTCTCCCAAAGTTGGGGCTTTACTTAGAAAAACTCCAACTAAGTAAAACCCCAACTTTGAGAGAGGGCTTAAACAATAAAACCACGTCTGTGGCTGGGGTTTTCTAAGTAAAACCCCAACTTTGGAAGAGGACTTAAACAATAAAACCACTTCTCAGCTCCTGTTACAGCTTGGCTACAGCAATGTACAAGTCTAGCCAATGAAAGCAAAGCAGGAATCTCTGGGGAAGTTTGTGAAAAAATTTCTTTTGTAATAGAGGGGCTGCCTCTTTCTCATTATGTGTTCCCCTTCCTGATAATTTGGAATATGGAGGTGATGGCTGGAGCTACAACACCCACTTGGCAACCAGAAGGGAAAGGCTGCCCATCACCAAGATCTCAGCCTAATGTACCACGGGAGCACTAAATGCAGACCAGCTATCTTCTATATCCTGACTTGTCACATGGGGAAAACACCTTTTCAAAGCCACTATTTTTTAGTCTCTGTTATAGGCAAAGGCAAATCCTAAGGGATACATTTATTTATTCCGTTATTTCTTAAATTGTTTTGTGTTTTTGCAAGAAGGAGCACTTTGTTAGCAGGTCACAACACTTGTTTATATGTAAAAATACCCACGCTACAGATGGCATGTGGGAGACCAAAAGGTGCTCTTTTCAACAGTTCTGACTGAAGAGTCTACCTGCCCCAGTGTGAGTGTCACCTACTTCTGCACCACCTCCTGCTCATGGTCCAGAGGCATCTTAAGTCCCCTCCAACCAAACTCACTTTCTGTTTGCTTTCTCTGCATCTTTCAGGGCACCATAAACTTTTCTCTCCCTCCATCAAGCCAGTTAATAAAATGTCATATCCACGCATAGAATCCCACTGGTACTGAGCCAAAAGCAATCCCTTCCCCATGTTCTATTTTCACTTTGTCATGCCATCAGGATGTGGTAATACGGTATCCTGATAACACAAGGAATGACCCAGGCATACGGAGTCTGAGAAACAATCCAGATCCTAACAGTACTGGGCTGAAAAAGTCATATAAGAGGCAATATGCTCAGGCTTTCAAGCAAGAGACAGACTATCAATATTGAAAGAAACCAAGGGCTGTTACCTTCTAGTGCTGCCCGTGCTGGGTGAACAGCCAGCCAGTCATCCTGGCCACTGGCTCCCTTTTCACACATTAGGGATGGCTGTAATGGGGGTGTGTGTATGTGCGCATTATCTTATATATCAAGACAGCTGTGTTTTGAGCGGGCACAATCCTCCCCAATGCTACAGGTCAGAATTTCCAGGAAGTTGATGAGATATCAAACGTCTGTAGCGCAGCCTCCCCAAGCATCCAGTCGCTTGCTCACCTGTTTCACTTCTGCCTGCAGGTGGCGAAGCTGCACGCACTGCTCCAGGTGTTTCCGATGCTGCTCGGCGGCTAAATCCAATTCCTGCTGTTTTTCATGAAGAAACTCCAGCAGGTCCTGGACCCGAGTTGCCATATCTACATCTCTATCGCAAAGCAGCTCCACGCCTGTGGACATTAAAGGGAGACCCTAGAATTCAGCTAGCACTTCAACCTTCTGTTCTCAAAGGGCGGATGGCACAAAATCTGCTTTTGTGAATGATCTGCCCAGCTAGGGGCCAAGCCATTATGCTGAAGGGCAAGTTCAAGGAGGGCAATGTGTGTCAAAGGATGTACGGGCAATCAATCCACGTCCACATCCCATCCATGTCTACTCCCACACTGATAACTAGGAAAGTGCAGCATTCTTTAGAAATGAGCGAATTTCAGGGTTTTTTTGTTGTTATCCTCATTACATGCAGTTTCCTCTTTAGTAAGCACTTAATTTGTGTGAAATGAATAATGCAATATGCAGGTTGTTGCTAAGTTTCTAATACAATTCTGAACCTATAGTGACATCTGCTGGTAAAATATAAACTAAGAAAATAAAGAATGCGAAAATGTTTTCCTGGGATTTACAGTTCATTCACAGAGATACAACATGTCATTGTGTAAAATTAAAGTTCATGATACTTAAAATAGTATGGGAGAATATCATGGGTGAGTACTCTAACGGTGTTAAATGTGACTGTATTACATAAAAATGCAAAACATTCTTTTAAAGAACAGGTATCTAGAATACCTATATCGTAGGAACTAACAAAATGTGCAGTCATCCCACTGAAATAAACTGAATTGCCATGAGGACATGAAGAAATCACAACGGACACAGATGGAATGAGCCTCTTACCAGAGGCCTGGACCTCATTGACATACTGCAGAAGATCCTGCCCTTGGTGGATGACGTCAAAAGTCAAGTTGTTCATGGTCAAGGCTTTGTCCGCGTGGTGCTGGAGGCGCTGCTCTGCGATCGTGAGATCTTCGGTGTCGAAGTCATTCATTTGCTGAGAAAGCTCATCATTCCAAGACTCGAGGTCTGAGATAATCTGAAAGAGGAAGGTATTTAAGATCAAGACAAAAAAAAAATACACGCAGCCACCTCTCACTCTGTACCAGGTAAGGGAGGAAGAGATGTCTCTCTGTCAAAGAACAGAGACGTCAAACACTTAAGATGCATGACTTCGGTGGTATACAGATCACACCTCAATAAAGCTGTTTAAATAAATTAAACAAACAAACAAACAAACAAACAAACAAATAAATGGACACAGAAGCCAGATGAAGGGGTTCCCACTGGCCAAAGATACCAAAAGAGAAGATAGATAAATTACTGAAACTATGTAAAATATATTGTATATACAAAAATCCATTACTATTCCTAATGGTGTTCAAAAATAATGAGAGAAGCTAAAAGTCAAAAAAAAAAAATAAAAAAGAAAGAAAAGAAAAAGTATTTGGTTTCTACTAGAAGTAGACAGTAAATTGGCTAGGGGTGGTGGCTCATGCCTAGAGTCCCAGCACTTTGGGAGGCCAAGGTGGGAGGATCACTTGAGGTCAGGAGTTCAAGAACAGCTTGGCCAACATGGCAAAACCCCATCTCTACCAAAAAATACAAAAGTTAGCTGGACGTGGTGGCATGCGCCTGTAGTCCCAGCTACTTGGGAGGCTGACATAGGCGGATCGTTTGAACCTGGGAGGCGGAGGTCGCAGTGAGCTGAGATGGCACCATTACACTCCAGCATGGGCAACAGAGTAAAACCCTCTCTCAAAAAAAAAAAAAAAAGCAGATAGAAAACCAATCATTATCCTAAATATTGGCACTTAACTAAAAGATAAAAGAACATTTTATAATGAAGAATTCCTCTTTATAGATGAATCTAGCTCTTAAATGCAGAAAGAATAATAAAATTGGAAAATTGTTTTCACATTCTCATAAGCAATGATCATCAGCACATAGTGAACTACTGTGAGAAAAAGGCTGAGGGGATTTAACCGCAGAAGGCTCAGCATGACGGTGCCTGAACCGGCCTCAGGGTCCCCAGGGAAGTGGGATTAGACAGGCCCAGCCTTCGCATGGGGAACTACGATGCACCACCTCGGAAACACTCTTGCACAACAACAGAACTAGAATCAGGTCTTTGCATCTAACTTCTAAGTTTAGAGGAAACACCAGGGAAACTAAAAGTTACACAACCTAAAATAATACAAGTGAACAAACACTGAATGTGGGATCTGGTTCCTTTGACAACCGATCTAGTTATTCTAGCAAATGATGGCATAAAAAAAAGAGGAGGAGGACAAAAGAGAGACAATTCTAGATTAAGAAACTGACCATTAAACACAAGAGCCAACTTCACGTGCCTCCTAATTGAGGCACCCACGTCAATCTGAACATGCTGGGAGTTGATGACAATAAGAAATGACTGTTAAATTGGGGAGATGTTTAGTTGATCGTGGGGATGTAAGAAAATAGCCTCATCTTTCAGAAAAGCCATTAGAAGTGAAAGAATAAGCTGGCAATGATTTTCTCTAGAACACTACAGCACAGCAATAACCAAAGAGGGTTAACCAGGCTGGTAAAATCATGCTGAATTTGTGGGACAGGCACACGGTAGTTCCATTGTACTGCCATCTGTACTTTTGTATAGCTTTGAAGACATTTATTCATTCATTCATTCATTCATTCATTCAGAGATGGAGTTTCACTCTTGTCACCAAGGCTGGAGTGCAATGGCGCAATCTCCCCTTACTGCAACCTCCGCCTCTGGGGTTCAAGCAATTCTCCTGTCTCAGTCTCCCGAGTAGCTAAGATTACATGCCCCTGCCACCACGCCTGACTAATTTTTGTATTTTTAGTAGAGACCGGGTTTCACTATGTTGACCAGGCTGGTCTCGAACTTCTAACCTCAGGTGATCCGCCCACCTCGGCCTCCCAAAGTGCTAGGATTACAGGCGTGAGCCACCACATCCGGTCATAATAAACTTTAAAACATAACTCCATACTCCTATGGGCCATCAGATGTGGCATCTTCCTGGATAAGAGAGGAAACCCGGCCAAAGCCTAAACTGCTCAGATCTTCATTTTTCAGGATTAAAGAGAACAGAGCTTCTCAGGCTGTGATCTTGTAGCAGCTTCGGAACCATATCTGAAGCTGGCCTGAGACTGGGCTGCAGGTACAGCTTCCTCTATTCAGGATGCACTCCCCCAGGCTCTGGCACGCTGGCTCTATCTAGGACACTTGTAATTTTGTGGCCTTGCTGGGGGAAAAATGTATGTTTTTGTTTCCTGATCTGGTTCAATGAAACTGGAAGTACTTTCATATACTTACAATAAATACAACTTTTTTAATATTAAAAAATTTTTTTCTCTTTAAAATAGTATGAAGATAAATGAATCAATTTTTTTTTTCAAGTATCAAAATGTCCTGGAAGAAAAACTGCAACTAATGCTTCTGGTTGGTTTGTGTTTCCTAGTTGAAAATATTCCATATGCAGCTAAGTTTTACAAAAGTGAGTCCTTTGAAGTCAGAGAGGGGAGTGGACCTGGCTGGTCTCCCATTTAGTCTGTGCTGCTACCTTGGGGAGGCCACGGCAGGCCCTCACTGGGCAGAGGCCAGCGTGCAGGTGCCTCTTCTCTGCATAGCTCCATGTGGATCTAAAGGTCAAGACTCTGAGAGCACCTGAGCAGGTTTCACCAAGCCATGTGTTTAGGGTTTGACTCCTTTCTTGTTATTCACTAATGATGAGAATGAGCAGAGCCAAAAAGGTCTGTTGTTGTTAATGAAAACAGTGCTGGAGATTTAGACAAGTGGCCAAGCAAAGGCATCCAAGAGAGTCCTGCGCAGGGCTGACTTGGTCCTTGCACCACAAACCAAAACCACTCCCCAGGGCAGGCCTATAGACAGGCCCAGGGGAAGCCACACGGCCCACTATGGGCAGAAGGTCCTTCCTGTGCCGAGGTGACTGAGGGCAGGCTATGCACAGCCCTGCCATCCCCAGCCTGAGTGGCAAGGACTGCTGATGAGTTCTAAACCAGAGACGAGAAATAAATATTAAGGGGGTGTGCTCTGCAGGTGTCTATCAGCAGTCACAGAGGAACCACCGGGCAGCCCAGAGGTATGTGGAGGAGGCCTTTGGGCCATCACAGCCACCAGCTGCATGAAGCGGCCAGACTCCAGGACAGCAGGCTCACCCGTGGAGGGGAGCTTTGGCTCCTTTCGTCATGTCCCCAGGTAAATTCGCACTCACGCGACTGGACTGACTTCTGCTTGCACGGTGTCAAAAAAGAGAGCTCCTCCTAAGCACAGAACCCAGAACCACTCTCTTTGTGTTGAAGAAAGATAAAAGACACCTGTAACTTCTTTCTCCTGTTCACATATAAGGTGCAGAAGTCCATGTTTAGGTAAGAAGTATGGATAATCTGAGAACACCTCTTTGGGGGGAAATTGGGTTTTCTATTATCTAAAATGCTATGACCACAAGTCAGGATTATTCCCACTCTGGGAGAAAGAAGGGAAGAGAGAGAAAGACGGAAGAGAAAGGGAGGAAGCAAGGAAGAGAGAAGGTAGGAGAGAGCGAAGGTGGGGAGAGAGAGAAAAGAGGAGGGTGAGGACAGGAGGAGAGGGGCAAGGATGAGAAGACGACAGGGAGGAAGAGAGGGAGGGCTGCTGCCTGAAGCTGATGACTGTACCTAAGCTGAGGACAAGGGAGTGCTGTGAGTGACCCAATGAAGGTTTAAACACCCCAAGACTGAGAGAAAGCTGTGCCGGCTTCCTTCGGTTCTGCTCAGCGCTTGCTGTGCTCTGCTCCTGCCACGCGAGCTGCCTGCTCTACTGTTTCCAGCATTGGGGCCCAGGGTTGAGCATCCCCTGGCCTCCCACGGATGATCCCATTCCAGCCTCCAGGAACCCTCTCTCCCTCCCGGACCCCTCCTGGTGCAGAGGGTGGGGGTGTGGGTGAGGACACAGGACCTGAGCGGGGCAGAGACAAGAGGGCACTGGTGCTGTGGAGGAAGCCAGGGCTCCCGCAGGCAGGCAGGCGCCGGCCACGGGACACTCACGTCGATGGCGTCCCTCTCGAAGATCCGCAGCTGCAGGAAGAGCTCCAGTTTGATCTTGCGCTCCTGGAAGAGCTCCTCCATCTGCGACTGCGCCTCGTCCAGCTGCTGCAGCACTGTCTCAATGTGGTTGATGGAGCTGTTGTGGGGGGTCTTGTTACTGGAGATGGCAGAGTCCCTGCGAGAGCGCACAGAGGAACAGGAATTGGATGAGAAAGTCACACATTGTTAGATACCAGATCCGGCCACGCAGATCTTCAGGGGAAGAAAGCTGGCAGGAAGCCGCACTGCTTGTCTCAGAAAATGGAACGGGCTGCTCCCCTGCAAAACAATATTAGGCTTCCTCCTCGGAGCAATCCTGCTGAATGTGAGGAGACACTGAAGAATTTCTCTGGCATTTTCTGAAATCACTCTGTAAGAAGGCTAATAATTATAGAAAATCACTTTAGAGTTGTATTTTTAGCCACTTTTCTTGTTAAGTAAAAAACGGATGACACCTGGTTAGTATAAATGACAGAATCATATTGGACATGAGAGGTTAACCTTTAATGCAATCAATTAAGCCTTTATTAAGTAACCGCCTCCTGCCTCTCCCAGCAAAAGTGAACGTCATGTAAAGTTAGCAGTCAACGACTTTGAGAAACTGTCCTGAGTGATACAGTAGTGGGTTAAATGGTCCCCCTGACCCAATAAAAAAAAATCTGCTTCCAGAGGAAACAAAACCAACCCTGGCTCTGCCTCCATATCCGGCTTTGAAGAGCACTTGGGGGTGGGTGTCTGCCCCTTGCAGGCCTGGCTGAATCTGGACGTTGGGAGGTGAATACTGCTGTCCTCTAGACTGGCCTGAGGGCGCAGTCCTCGGAGGCTCACATTCATCTCGTTTATAAAGAAGTGTCAGTAATTACTAGTTGGATGTTAAGAGAAAATATTAAAATTAAATCATGTGGCGTATTAGTCGACGTTATAACGAAAACTATTATGAAGTTAAACTGTAAGGAAGGAGGGAAAAGAGAGAAGAGAGCCATTTCTCTCCTTTGCCTTCACGACGCTGCTTGCTCTGCACTGAGCTGGACAGAGAAGCAGAGCTGACTGCCCACAAGAGTGAAAGGGGAAGGGGAGTCACTGGCAGGGCTTCAGAATCTGTTCGGACCAGGAGAGGGGTGAGGCCCACCTGAGCTGCTGGATGAGGTCCTCCCCTTCCTTGATCACGTTGACAGTCACCTGCAGGGTGGTCTGCTGCTGCTGGCCGAAGCGCTTGATGAGGTCCTGCACGGCCTCCACCGACTCGGCATACACGTCGTCCAGCAGCTCCTTCTGCAGCTCCTCCAGCCACGTCCACAGCTGGGGAAGGGGAGAGTTGGGTGAGGCCAGCCGGCCTGGCTGCACCACCAGGTGGGCCGCCCGGTGTCCAAGTGGCCCCAGCAGAGACGGTGTGTGACTTGCCCTGGGAGGGGACTGGTGACAGACCGCTCCCAGAGGGAAGGAAGGAAGGACAGGAGGGAGGGGCATCCAGTCCCACTGCCAGCGGAACACATGCACAACAAAAGCAGCATGCCACCGCCGCAGGGAGGAAAACAAACAGGCGGGCAGCACTGTCACAAAAGAGAAAAAGGAAAGGGAAGGGAAACTGCTCTTTCCCATTCTCCTGAGGCTCAATCCAGAGTGCGGTGGAAATAAGAAAAGACCCTCAGTCCACAGAAACCTCTGCTGACATAAGACACCTTCTCTGACATGTCTCAGGCTCTTACGTAGCAGGTGGACACTTTTATTTCAAGTTTTCATTATTAAACCACTGATTTCCCCCGGAAGCACACAGAAGGAAGTGCACAATGTGGTGAAAGGAATTCACCACCGAGCCTGGCCGGGGACCAGGGTGTGGAGCTAGGGAGGTGACGGCACTAGCCCAGGCCCCGCAGTCAGGCTGCCAACAGTTCGGGCCTTTGACGGAAAGAGTGTGCATGCCGAAAAGACGCAGACACCTCCACTGCCACCACCATAAAATGGGCTGCTGGAGACCTAGGTGAGCAAAGACACCCTGGAACGAGAGTGGCAAGAACGGCTTTGGGCCTGGTGGGAGCCGAGGAGCACAGCCTACTTCCTGTAAGTCCATTCACTCCTGCAGATCTCTCGGGTACTATTCATGGGACCGAAAAAGACAATTAATTACATTAAGCAGGCCCTGGTGGCTTGGTAGTGGTTTGTATGTGGAGAAAATGCTTTCAGCCTCCTCAGGGACTAAAAGTCAGCTCACACATCTTCTGTATGTCTAGTGAGAACAGCCGGCTTAGCTGGCGAGATGGGGCAAGTCGGGACCTCCCGCTTGACACCCTGTCCAATGCCTGCTGCCTCGAGGCTCGTAAGTCAAAACTGTACGTGCAGAAAGAAACCGCGTGTGCCTGTGGTGTTCTGTTTCCAAGCCAAGCTTTTTATAAAACAGCTTTACTGAGGACTAACTGACGTACTATAAGCTGCACAAATGTAAAGTGTCCAGTGTGAGTTCTGACATTTGTCTATGCCCAGTTCACCGTGAGCCTCTCCCTCATCCCAAAGCTGGCAGATGCCCTCTGTCCTGCTCCCTCCCTGGCACTCACCTGCTCTCAGCCGCTGGAGATTACCCTGCATTTTCTAAAATAATTTCTAGAACTGGACTGGGACAGTATGTACTCTTTTTTTTTTTTTCTGTCCAGCTTCTTTCATTCAGCATAATTACCCTGAGATTTATCCACACTACTGTGTGTATCAAGGGTTCATTCCTTTTCGCTGTCGAATAGCAGTCCCTGTATGTGTGAAACCACCATTCATCCCTTCATCTGCTGGTGGACATCTGGGTTATTTCCAGTTTGGAGCCACTACAAACAAAGCTGCTATAAACATTTGGGCACAGCCTCTGTATGAACTTATGATTTCCTTTCTTTTAGATAAATATCTAGGTGTAGAATGGCTGGATCATATGGTAGGTGTATGCTTAACTTCCTACCAAACTGTCAAGTTTTTCCAAAGTGGTGTATCATTTTTACCTTCCCACCAGCAGTGTATGAGAGTTTCAATTCCTTCACTTCCTCACCAATAACTGACGTGGTCAGTCTTTTTAACTTAAGCCAATCTAAATGAGTGGTATATCTCACTATGGTTTCAATTTGCAATTCCCTAATTACTAATGATGGCAAATCCAAGCAAAGCTTTTAAGTGTTCTTTTGCTGTCAAACATATCTTTAAAAACACACTATTACCAGATGACTTTGTTTCTTGGATATATGCATAGAGAAACTGACTTCCATTTGTAACAAAGAAAATCTTAGTATCAATTCCATACGACAATTTGTTCCCTGAGCAATATTTACACACATAAAATATACTTTTATTGTTATTTGCAGGTCAATACACATTCAAAATACAGCAGGCCAATTTTAAAATAAGAAAAGTGCTGGCAACGAAGTTATTTTTCAGTCCTGTTACTCAGGGTCCTAAGAATTAATTTTACTGAAAATATTAAAGTAAATAAAACATTTGTTAACTTTTCTCATATTGTCCACCTATTTTTTGTGTCTAAGTTATCAAATTTCATACAGTTCAAGAATTTTAATCAATGGGGTTTCAGAGACAGGCCAGTTCAAAATTTTCATTCTCTAGATTAAGGAAGAGAAGCCCCAGGTGATGAAGTGCTACGCCCGAAAGCTGGTATCAGAAAGAATACTTCTCCACAGCTGGCATCAATATTTAATTCCACATGAAAATGCCACTCATCAACTCACCAAATATGAACTGATGCCCTGCACCATCTATAAAGGGTCTATAATCAATAAGATGCTTTCTTGTTCTTTTGTTTTCCTCTAAATTCTCATGAACATGGCAGCTGCATTTATAAACAGGAAAGATCATAGCATGAAGGACTCTTTCAATTTGCACTAACATTTCCCATGAAAAACATTCTAAGTTGCTAAGTCACATGGTATAGTAGTAACAGTATTATAAGACTTAGAGTAAGGCGATCTGGATTTAGGAAATGCTTTACGAAGCATTAGCTGTGTGACCTAAGAGATCACTTAATTTCTCAAGAGACTCGGTTTGCTAAAACAGGGATCCTAGGAATGCCAATGCCACCTAAGGCCGTCGCTACGAGGAGCAGATGAAAGAGGACACACTGGAGGGCTTCACGTCAACAGCAACGCTCTGGACAGAATTATCACCCTGGTTATAAGGATGGACTTAAATTAACTGAACAGGCAAGATTTGCTCAAAGAAACCAAGTATGTGCCAACTTGGCTGCACTGAGCTATAACTAACCAATTACCAGAAGAAGGCTGTAATGTTTCATGAAAGAGTCAAAATATTTAATCAAAAACATCCATGACATTATCCAATCCATGGACATTTCTACTTAAGATGGTAACCTGCCTTCACCAATAACTGATGTGGTCAGTCTTTTTAACTTAAGCCAATCTAAATGAGTGGTATATCTCACTATGGTTTCAATTTGCAATTCCCTAATTACTAATGATGGCAAATCCAAGCAAAGCTTTTAAGTGTTCTTTTGCTGTCAAACATATCTTTAAAAACACACTATTACCAGATGACTTTGTTTCTTGGATATATGCATAGAGAAACTGACTTCCATTTGTAACAAAGAAAATCTTAGTATCAATTCCATACGACAATTTGTTCCCTGAGCAATATTTACACACATAAAATATACTTTTATTGTTATTTGCAGGTCAATACACATTCAAAATACAGCAGGCCAATTTTAAAATAAGAAAAGTGCTGGCAACGAAGTTATTTTTCAGTCCTGTTACTCAGGGTCCTAAGAATTAATTTTACTGAAAATATTAAAGTAAATAAAACATTTGTTAACTTTTCTCATATTGTCCACCTATTTTTTGTGTCTAAGTTATCAAATTTCATACAGTTCAAGAATTTTAATCAATGGGGTTTCAGAGACAGGCCAGTTCAAAATTTTCATTCTCTAGATTAAGGAAGAGAAGCCCCAGGTGATGAAGTGCTACGCCCGAAAGCTGGTATCAGAAAGAATACTTCTCCACAGCTGGCATCAATATTTAATTCCACATGAAAATGCCACTCATCAACTCACCAAATATGAACTGATGCCCTGCACCATCTATAAAGGGTCTATAATCAATAAGATGCTTTCTTGTTCTTTTGTTTTCCTCTAAATTCTCATGAACATGGCAGCTGCATTTATAAACAGGAAAGATCATAGCATGAAGGACTCTTTCAATTTGCACTAACATTTCCCATGAAAAACATTCTAAGTTGCTAAGTCACATGGTATAGTAGTAACAGTATTATAAGACTTAGAGTAAGGCGATCTGGATTTAGGAAATGCTTTACGAAGCATTAGCTGTGTGACCTAAGAGATCACTTAATTTCTCAAGAGACTCGGTTTGCTAAAACAGGGATCCTAGGAATGCCAATGCCATCTCAGGGCGTCGCTACGAGGAGCAGATGAAAGAGGACACACTGGAGGGCTTCACGTCAACAGCAACCCTCTGGACAGAATTATCACCCTGGTTATAAGGATGGACTTAAATTAACTGAACAGGCAAGATTTGCTCAAAGAAACCAAGTATGTGCCAACTTGGCTGCACTGAGCTATAACTAACCAACTACCAGAAGAAGGCTGTAATGTTTCATGAAAGAGTCAAAATATTTAATCGAAAACATCCATGACATTATCCAATCCATGGACATTTCTACTTAAGATGGTAACCTGCCTTCCACATGCAGGTGGTGGGGTGGGGCAGGCAACTGGCCACACACAGAGGGTGCCCACTCACTCCCAAGGCAAACCCTTTGAGTCGCATGCAGCCACTGCAGCCTTCCACCCTCTGATTCCTCTCCTCAGATGGACACTGTGAAAACGTGGTGCTGTGCAACTGCGTTGATTCTGCTCACAAAGAAAATAAACCATTGATTTCACTCCTTTCTCTCAAAAATCTCAAGTGTATCTTCTGCCTGAATACACTCCTTCACTGAAGCTTCCCCCACCTCGTCACTGTCCAATGGGACCCAGGAAATGGAGTACTCCCAGGTCCCCTGCCGGTGATAACTACAGTACTAATTAATGGACACAAAATGGAGAACACTTAAGCAATCAACAGGGGACTCTGCATAGTCAACTTATTATTCCGTCCCACTGCTGAGATGCTAGCAACGGTGCTGCCTCTGCACTTCATGTTCAAACTTGGAGCAGAAGTGAATGATTTAAGCAAATGTACATCTGAAAAAGGTCCTCAGAAAACAGTTGACACTCTACAATCCTGCAGCCCATTGCTCTTCTCTCACTCCAATCAAATTGGAAGAAATGTAGCTGAAAATAAAGGTAATGGAGCCAATTCTGACCCAAATATTAAACCTGCAGCGCAGCAGGAGGGCGTCTGGCTCACTTGGTGACAAGTTGCCCTTCTGGGCACTGAGAAACCAGGTCTCCTGCTGGCAGGAGCCAATGGTGGCCTGTGGCTGTAGCTGCACTCCCCTTTAGCTAGGTTCTTAGGCCACTAATAGAAATTGATATCTCTTCTTTTAAATCTGTTGAGAAAACAAAAACACTTTTAAAAAAAAGCCTACTAGAAAAACAGCAAAATCAGCAAAACAGAACAAAATTTCTTAAGGCAGCAGTAGAGAATTTGCATATCCTGAACAGGACACATCTTGTAGCAAGGCCCTGAAATACAGGTGTCCCAATCACCCTCCCAGCCCTGCTCAGACAGGAGGGGTCAGGCTCCCAGCACCGCTGGGCCCTCTCCCTGAAGCCCTGCCAGCCAGTTCTGGGCCCTGAACTGGGAGATCAGCAGCCTGTCCTGACTCATTGTGAGGCCTCACTCAAGGACCCAACTTGTGGTACAAGAAGGGGGACAGGCTGCCCATGTGGGTGGGGACCTTTGCAAAATTCCTCTTTTCCAGCAAATACTACCAAAAATACCATTTAAGATACAAAAGCATTTTGCCAAGTCTCACTTTTATACTCTGGTGAAGAGAAGATGAGAAATGACCCGGAACTGGCCGGACGCACAATGCATAGCTGTGCTTCTAACAACTCCACTGCAACAGCCTGACAGCGACTATGAGTGCTTCTTCCATAAATGATCACTCAAATCAAACACTTCTCATAAGAGGTAACAGACAATAATGACTAAGAGTGTAGGTTGCGAAGCCAGATTGCTTGGGTTCAAGTACTGACTTAACACTTCCTAGGGTGTAACTTTGGACAAGTTACCTGGATCCAGCTCTTTTCTCATCTATAAAATGGGCATGGTAATAATGCCTGCTTCAAAAAGTTGCTTGGGGCTGGGTGTGGTGGCTCACGCCTATATTTCTCAGCACTCAAGAGGTCGAGGCAGGCAGATCACCTGAGGTCAGGAGTGTGAGAACAGCCTGGCCAACATAGTGAAACCCTGTCTCTGCTAAAAATACAAAAAAATAGCTGGGCGAGGTGGCACATGCGTGTAGTTCCCGTTACTTGGGGGGCTGAGGCAAGAGAATGACTTTAATTGGGAGGCAGGGTGCAGTGAACTGAGAGCATGCCACTGCACTCCAGCCTGGGCGAGTCTGTCTCAAAAAAAAAGAAAAAAAAAAGTTGCTTGGAGGTTTCAATGAGAAGACAATGTGGAGTGACGAAATAAGTAAATGCTAGTCACTGTTACTGTTTTTGTTCTAAGAAAAACTCTTTTCATAATAATAAAAATCACAGTTTTAAAATCTTTCTCTAGATATTTTTCAAAACACATTTGGGTTCCTACCAATTGTTCAAAACATGTCACTTGGTCTAGTAAACTTAACATCATCCCACATTTATATCTTTTTACTCCTAAAAATAGTACAGTATGAGGAAAACGTGCTAGAATTAGTCTGTTAGAGTCTATAGAGTCTACAGAAATCACTTCCTCTCAATTCTAGGGGAAGTGCCATGAATCTTTAGGGGTCAAACGTTTTCCCTTCCACCTGGAAGTTAAAAAACAAAAAAACAAAAAAAAACCCACACAACTAGTGTATTCCCCGCAACATCCTGGATATTTTACCGCACACTGGATGTGCTCACCCTCCTGCTGGCCGATGAAACCAGTGAAGAGCCACAGGTACCGAGGAGACCGCCAAGGAACTGATCCTGGGATCATGACAGTAAAAAAGGACAAACTAAATGAGGCAAAAGGAGCAAGGCTACATTTTAACCACTTAAAATACTTGCCCCTTTGGAATTTTTCTGTCTGGTCCTACAGGAAATATTCTCATTCAATTTGGAGAAAAAAGTCTTAGATAAAGGTCACTTCTAATATCAACTGGGGGTGAATGGGCACATATTATAATGAAATACCATTCAAGGAAAGTCTGTTTTTAAGTTTTTAAAATAGTGTATATGATGCCTAAAATATCCCTGAATAAAGAAATGAGAAAAACCCTCTAGGATGCCTATAAAATTCTTACCATAAACTTACTAAGAGAAAAAATTATACTTCTGGGCATGCTGCAAATTTATAATAAAAAGATAAATCTTTGCCCAGCAGCAAGAGAGTTGTGTCCTATGGAAGTTCACAGCAGTCTGGATTCTACTGAGAAACACGAGCAGGTCTGGCAGCAGCAGGGTTAGGCAAGGCTGCCCCCTGGAGGTCATCAGAGCTACTGCTGGCCATCTCTACTGCTGAGAGGTGCCCGGGGGATCTGCAGGCCAGGGTGCTGGGTGGAAGAGGACCTGAACTCAGTCCACAAGTGGGCTGCAGGTGTGTACAGGACCTGGTTCATGGACCAGGATCCACAGAGAAGGATGACTAGGAAGGGACGCAGAGTTCTGTGGTGAAAACCCGAGTGATTAAGATGTGGGAAGCCTCCCACAGGCCTCTCTGGGCCCCACAGCTCTGCTGGAAGAAATTCCCTGAAAAGCTAGCTTTGAGATGAAAAGGTCCCCCCCCCCCACTACCTGGAAAGGGAGACCCCGCCGCAGAGGGCTCCGAGAGGACCTGGCTGGGGTGGAGGACTCTGGGAAAGGACCAAGACTCCAGTTAAGTGGAAACTAGGATCAGGGCCCTAAGCTGGGAATTGTTGCAGCTGCAACCTTTCTGTGCTCCCCAGTGGGGTATGAGCTGATGCAGTTTGAACCCAGTCTATAATCAGCGTCTGTCTGGAGGTGGGGTATGGAAGGAGGGGCCCAACACATCTGCTAGGGTCCTTATCCCATGCGTGCTCTTGGGAAATTCTTGGAGCGCCTATCTTCAGTTTTCTCCTGTATGAAATGAAATCATTATACTACATGCATCTTCTCTAACTGGAAAGCCAGAGTGAAAATCCACATGTGAAGTATTCAACTTCAGCAAGCACTTGGTGAACAGAAGCTGCAGCCATTGGTATCTGTTTCCCTACTCTTGTTTTTGACAAAGACAATCATCTGGGTACTTGTGGTAATGGGCGAGCCAGGGGAAGTATGAAAGCCACAGCTTCCCAGAGCTGCTGCGAGGCAGAAGCAGAAGCAGGAGTTTCAATGGCAACTTGCAGGTGGAATCTCAGACAGAGGACAACCACTATGCACATAAAATGTGATTCAGTTTCAGGTATAAAAACCAGGGAGAAAAACGGAACTGCCTCAACCATGTGCCGCATGTTCCTCTGTCTGAAATGACGAACTGTACTGTGGGTCCACATGCCTGAGGCCTGATTAAGGAAGAGTATGAGTTTGGGAAGCACCTTTTCATTCTTCGGTAGGTAGAATAAAACATCCCTTAATACAAGGGTCACCAAAGCGTGGGCTGCAGACAAGTATTGGTCTGTGGCTTGTTAGGAGCCGGGCCACACAGCGGGAGGTGAGCAGCAGGCAAGCGGGCATTAACACCTGAGTTCAGCCTCCTGTCAGATCAGCAGTGGCATTAGATTCTCATAGGAGTGCGAACCCTACTGTGAACTGTGCATGTGAGGGATCCAGGTTGTGTGCTCCTTAAGAGATGAGAATCTAACTAATGCCTGATGATCTGAGGCAGATCAGTTTCACCCTAAAACCATCCCTGCCCCCACCACTACCGCTGGTCTGTGGAAAAATCGTCTTCCATAACACCGGTCCCTGGGGACCACTGCCTTAATATGATCAGAGAAAATTTATGAAGGATGTATCGGGTGGAGGTGGGGAGGAACAGAGAACAAATCAAAGTTAGCATCATGAAGTAATTATCCATGCAAACGTATTACATGTAAGAAAGGAGGAAAAAGCAGAAGAAATACAGGGGCATATTCAGGGCAGCTATGCACATTAAGATGGGACAGTGCGTGGACATTCCAGCACCAGAGGGTGGACGCCCTGCAGAGGCGTGAGACTGAGTACAGGTGAGGCACAGGGGATGCGGTGATAACACCCAAGTAGGACAGAAGACGGACGTGACTGACCTGGGGCCAAAGCTCACAGAGGAAACAACAAGAACTTAAACTAACCAAATGGTATCAAGTCTAAAAGAAGAATTTGACTTTCGGAATTTTTTATTTTCCTTCCATTGCCCAACATCCCCACAAGATAAGACACTCTCTTCAGCAAAAGTTGTTATCCAGGGGTGTCAAGCTTGGGGAATGCTGCTCCCCCATCCTCAGGTCATCTGGACAGCAGCCATAGTCTCTCACTGCAGTTGGCCAAAGGGTAATTCCTCCTTGCCGTGACAAGTCTTCAAGGACCTGCAGACAGCGTCCATGCTCCCGCAGCCTGCCTGCCTTCCTCGGGGTGACATTTCATTTCCTGAACTCTGCGGGTATAGCATGACCTGGAGCTCCTTTGACACCAGCTCACTCCCCTCCAACATTCTCCCCTTTCAAAGTATACTATGCAGTCATAAAAAAGAAGGATAGCATGTCCTTTGCCACAACAGAGACAGAGCTGGAGGCCGTTATCCTTAGCAAACTAATGCACGAACAGAAAACCAACGACACATGTTCTTACTTACAAGTGGGAGCTAAATAATGAGAATACATGGACACAAAAAGAGAAACAACAGACACTAGGACCTACTTGAAGGTGGAGGCTGGGAGGAGGAAAAGGATCAGAAAAAATACCTATTGGGTGCTATGCTTAGTACCCTGGTGAAGAAATAACCTGTCCACCAACCCCCTATGACATGAGTTTATCTCTATAACCTGCACATGTGCCCCTGAACCTAAAAGAAAAGTTAAAAATCAACATTTTTTTAAAAGATGAATTTTGGTTTATATTAAATGGAGAAAGAGAAAAGTTCAACTCGTATGTTGAAAGCAAAAGATGGAAAACAGGACTGGCTTCTTCAAAGGCTCATCTTGTAGAACTGCCTCTTGGAAACTTCCCGGTAATGTACTAAAGACAGCAGTCGCCACGACTGTCAATTCCCAAAGGAAGAGCACAGCTTAACCTTGGCCGCTTCTGTGGGATCCCAAAGGTTTAATGAAATGACTCCTCTAAAAGAGTCTGAAAGTAAGTCTTTAACATTTAAAAAAAGGAGCAAGGAAAGGGATGTAGAATAATGGGGTAAAACACACACATGCTCATATGCGTGCACACACACACGCAGGAAAAACACACACGCCCGTGTGTGCACACACATATACACACAGGAAAAACACATGCTCATGTGCGTGCACACACAAACATGCAGGAAAAACATACATGTTCATGTGAGAGCACACACATACACACAGGAAAAACACACATGCTCATGTGCATACACACATATACACACAGGAAAAACATATGCTCACGTGCATACAAACACGCAGGAAAAACACATGCTCATGTGGATACACACAAACATGCAGGAAAAACACATGCTCATGTGCGTGCACACACAAACATGCAGGAAAAACATACATGCTCACGTGCATGCACACACATATACACACAGGAAAAACACACCTCACATGTGTACACAAAGATGCAGTAAAAACACACATGCTCATGTGTGTACACACATATACACACAGGAAAAACAGGTCCATGGGCATGCACACACACGCAGGAAAAACACATGCTCATGTGCATGCACACACATATACACACAGGAAAAACACATGTTCATGTGAGAGCACACACAAACATGCAGGAAAAAAACATGCTCATGTGCATACACACAAACACGCAGGAGAAACAGGCTCATGTGCATGTCTGTGTAGACACATGCAGAAAAAACACATCACACATGCTCATATGCATGCACACACATATACATGCAGAAAAAACAGGCGCACATGCGTGTGTGTACACACACAGGAAAAACACATGCTCACATGCGTGCACACACATATACACGTAGGAAAAACAGGCTCACGTGCACGTCTGTGTAGACACATGCAGAAAAAACACATCACACATGCTCACATACGTGCACACACATATACATGCAGGAAAAACAGGCTCACGTGCATGTG